TGAAAAAGTTCCGCAGGGGCTGCTCCGAATATTCCTTCCTATTTGTCGTTAAGACCCATTTATAAGTTTAAACATCTTATATCCCCGTTGTCAAGTATCAATACGTTGCCGTGCGGTTACAAATATCAATATTTACAATTTTATTAGCTCCGAAGAAGATTGTTGATTTTTAATTTATTATAGTTTATCGTATAAAATGCGTTTAGAAACCGATAAGGTTTAGCACGCTCGCACGGTGAGCTTTCCTATCTTGTTTTAGGTTCAATATACTAAGTAATGACCGTGTCCATTGGCCGTTTTATAGATTAAAAAATGTTGTCCAAAATACTAACTAATTAGTACCTTGGACGATACAATTTGACACTCTTTTTCGCAAATTTAAAAGGGTCTACTGTAGCTGAACCAATTTTACTATTTAGTCACTTCATTATGGTATTTATGCCATGTACTTATGACATTATTTGTTTCAATTTTCTTGAAAAGTGAAACGGTCGAGCATGTATGCGGTAGATGTAGCATGAGGCTTATTCGGCGATCATTGGTGTACGGTACAGCTGTACAAGTTAGTTAGGTTGGTTGATTATTCCATTATCTCATTTTTAGATTTAGATGAAGCTATGGACACTGATGATTGATGAACAAAGATATATTTTCAACTAAACATATCTTTACAATTTTTTTAATTATTTATTAAGCCTATAAATTGCCTATCTAACTATCCTCATAGATAATCGTAAGTTTCACTTCTAACGCGCCTGGGGATCCTTGCCCAATTTTTTAATAATTAAAATAATATTTTTATTTTGTCTAATAAACATAAGTATAAGTATAAGTAAAAACAAATATAAACTAACAAAATAATTCCAGTTCTGAACTTGGAAAATTTAAAATCCACATTATAAACAAAATTCATAAATGGTTTAAGTACATACAACACGTTAAACATAGCATGATTTAATCCTGTTTTCATAATTTAAGAAACATTTAAAAAAATAATAAACTAGACTCGCGGCACAAAACCCGTGGCCATTTGTATTTAGCGAGTTAAATCTTGTTAAGTGAATGTACTCTGGTTCTTGTTCCAAAAAATAATTAAATCCCTTCCTAGTTTCTCATTTAAGGTAAAAGTTCAGTTTATGTTGTAAAGGGTTATAGTTAGATTTTATTAAACACTTTAAAGTTGGGGTCCTGTGAATCCCTATAGACTATTTTGTGATGATGTATATGAATGTACCTAATATGAGTTTACGCCGTGATTTATTTCGTCTACTCTCGACTCATATTATAACGGTACTTTTTAAATTTTTTATTGTGAACTCGTTTGGATTTATCAGGTAAAAAAACAGTTTTAATTGTAAACGTTTCCAGTTTCGTTTGCCATTTAAATATCTTGTGATTATGTCCTCGTACATAATATTTTACGTGCAACGTAACTTAGGTTTAATATTTAGTTTTAAAGTTCAATCTTTTATGACCTAATCCCTGTTGTATGTTGTTGAGGATAATTTATTTTTCACTAGTGTTTTCATCGATCATTTTCCGGTGACCTCGAGTCCTGCAGAAAACGCTACGTATGCCACCCCCGGGGCGACGACTACCCCCGGAAAGTTAAAAATAAATCGTAAAAAAAAAACAATAGTAATGACTAAGGCAATGACCCACACGCAAAATTTCCCCGTCAAGAACTCAACGCCGGCGGCTTGACCTTAATACCAAAAACGCTTTTTGTTCGAGTACCGTGACTGTGCAGGACACAAAAACAGTAGTAGTTGGTTGCACTGCCACTGTAAAAAATTGTATGATACAAAATAATGTATGGTACATAATTATGGTTACTGACAAATACGTTTCTAAATTCGCGTTATTATTATTATTATTATCACTGGAATATGGTGTACGGGTTTAATTACTATAATAATTATAAATGTAAAAAATATGCATTATGTAATTAGTCGATATGCATTGAAACAATTAAAACATTTTTTTTTTTTAAATTACTGGCGTCAATATTGAATTGTGGAATGTTTGCAATATTACTGTTTTACCTAATCGACCAAAATGATTGGAAACAAAAAAAAAACCATTCGATATTATAATATTTTGTGTGCACGGTAATTATCGTACGACGGCGGTGATGCGTGTAGTGACTATAGTGACGTCATCCGGACACGGTATTCCGTAGTGGAGCGCGGCGACGGCGGCCGCGTTGACCGTAAAATCATTAGTGGTGGGGGGGCGCGCGCTATGCTGCTCTTTCCCCCCTCCTCCCTTGCTGGCGCGCCTGGTTCGGACACTCGCGCAACACTCGCTCGATGGTTGAGAGGCAGTGATGTTATTTAAAACCCGGGGCTGGTAACGGGAAATTCAGCCGTACTGTTATGTGTACAGATTTTGGCAATTTTTCCGTTGATTTAACTCCTACTTCCATGGTCATTCATCGAGCACTGCAGGTAAACACCACGAACCCGAGTTTTACTATTGTTATTTAAGTAGTGGTAGTTGTATGGGACTTTTTGGCGATACGCGAATTTGGTGGTTGGTTTTTATTTTTTTTTTTTTTATGTCTAAGCAAACCGCAGGGATCGCCCAATCGCCGTGGCTATACGATATTGTTCTAGTATTAGAATTGTTGTGAACATTTTTATTTACATTTTGTTTTGTTCATTGTCGGTCGCGCGCGTCGCCCTCAACCGAATTTCGTGCTTACCCAATTTATTCGTTTTAATATGTCGAAACGTACATTCTGTTGAATGGCGCGCGCGTGTGTGTAAATAGTAGTGACGTTTGGCCTTAAATAGGAACGGCTCCGAAACAACTCGAGGGTAGCCCCTTTAATTGACATCCGCTGTCAATTCGTGTGTGGCCAGCAGAAAAGCTTTCCATTTCGTTCATCGCTATAGCCGAGTCGATTTTTGATTTATGCTGAATTTTTACCGGCAAGTATATTTTGACCAATCCCTCTTGCCACTCGACCATAACTTTGTCGTTTCCCAAATTCCTTTTTGTGCATGCCTTGTTACCTAATTGTTAAAAGTGGAATTATACGGCTACAATGAAATATATGGCAACCCTTTTTGTGTGTTTCTCATACTCAACCATGGACGGGTATCACAGCCAGGGTAGAAAATTAAAAAATAATTTCATAAAACTGTTCACTTGTTATGCAAGCAAAAATGGTTTTATATTACCAAAAATCTGTTAGTAGTATAAATATCATACCTATTATAATTAAAGCTATGAAATTGTCTTGAAAGACGTCATAAGTCTGTCTATTGTTGGTGAATATTTGCAGCAAACTGTGTAAACAGTATTATTCATTATTCGCTATTTGTTCAGCTGCCGTCAAACAAAACCTTATCAAAGTTAATACAATATTTATCTGCTGTGATACGGTTACTATGATCGTTTGGTTAGTTAAAAAAATTAATGTTTTAAGCAATTTTCCTTTTTAGAAATTGTACTTGTTACCCCAAAAGCTTAATCGAGGGAAAGTGAAATTTATTTTATGAAAAGAGTGTGATGTGTGTCTTGTTAATCATAGTAAAAGTAGGTTGTAGACCCTACAATTAGTCTAGAATCAAAGTTTCTTCTTTTAACTTTTATACCTTTTCTGATCTGATTGTCTTGTTAATTTTATAGAATACCCTCATTAAAATAATAATTCCTAAAGAGCTGTCAAAAGTTGATTTCTTATTATTTTTTTTTATATTCAATAGCTCTAATATTATGTGTATCCAAAACCAAATTATTAAAAAAAAAACTTTTTAAAAATGATATTAATAAAATATGTGTTGTACAATTCTAATTAATATTTACTGTCGTTTTTCTTTTAAAGTTTCATTTAACAAAGGTAAATTGATAATACAACTCATGTATTATATAAAGGTACTGTTGACATGCGTAGGTAAAAATTAAATAAAGTTTAGTCAAGGTTAACCTAGAGTTGGCATTGGGTTATACCAACTATTCATTTTTTTTTTTTCAATTGTTTCATATTACTCCACTACAAATCAAAATCATCTTTATTTAATAACATAATATGATTGGCATTTAACATGAACCTTGCATTAATTATTGTTCTTTGCCAGTATCCAATATTCATTAAATTAATTAGTAATCACAATTGAATCAATTATATGTTTGTAACATTTATAAATTATTTGGCATTGTACATGAATAATAGTGTTATTTTTAAACGCAGATATATAAAATGAAAGAGCTCCTTACATAATGATATTGTTTACACCCGACCTCAGAAGCCTTAGAATGTTTAATATTGTGACATGTTTCACAAGCATTATGAACACAACAATTTGACACAAAAAAAATATAATTTATAGTAGTTTTTAATATATATTTAATTTTATAATGTATTATTAACAATTTGGCTAGAAAAAAGTTTAGTTTCATACTTGCATCTAATTTGTAGCTATAATGCAGTAAACATGTATATTGAATCATCATTAAGTAGTACCTAATTTCATTTGTTTTCTCGGTTCTGTTGGTAAATAAATATTAATATTAATTTCACATTTAATAAATCAAATCGTAAATTAATAATATGCCAAGTAACAACTACACTGTTGTTGTATAGTGTTTATCATGAGATATAAAATTTAAAAAAATATTTACTTTTAAAACAAGATAAGGTTATTGTTATTGTGTAAAGTTAGTTTTTAGTTATTTATGTAACCACTTATTGTTTTTTTTTTTTTTTTTACACAGTCTTAATTAGATAGTAATATATAGAAAACTATTCGAGGGGATAAACGCCATTACATTCATTTTGAATAGCTACAATCCTTTAAATGAAACGTCCACAGTAGAGACGTTTCTAAAGTCATTGCTAGTGAAGTTTAGTATCTTAGTGATGTAAACATATATTTATAAATTATTATGAAAATTATATCAACAATTGTTTAAGATAAGCTCTCCGTTTATTTACCAAACTTATTTTTTTCTTTTTTATCAAGCTTATCTAGTAAATGTTATGTTTGCAGGTTGTTAAATCTGTAGCAGCCTTTGATTTCATGGATTTGTCATTGGACAGCAGTGAATATTGTCAAGCACAACACAACGCATTGAATGCATATTAAATAATTTCAATTTGAATGTTATGCTTGTTTACTGAACACGCATTGATCCCAATCCATTGTTATTGTTGAATCATATTCGTTTACTCGAAAATTTAGCATAACTTGTTGGTTATAAGAACACAACAATCCATTTTCATCCATTAATGGACTAACAGACTATTCTGTACAACGCCTTCAATTTAGGAAAGGCTTTTGTTGGGCGTTAAATAATATTTACCATTTTTTTTCTCTGGTAACTATTACAAGTCAGCCTAATGACAAACGAAGCCATTATGCGTCAAAAAGACATCAGACCGCCACCGTGCGAAATCGACTACAAAGGCATGAGATTTTTGATCACAGACAGACCTAACGATCAGACTGTTCATAACTATTTAGCTGTAAGTATCAAAAAGTCTTATATTCTTGTCTATATTAATAAACTATTTTGTTGTTATACTATTATATTTTTTTAGGAATTAAAGAGACACAATGTTAAACATGTAGTACGTGTTTGTGAACCAACATATAAAGTAGATGAATTAAAAGCAGAAGGTATTATGGTCACCGACTTGGCTTACGATGATGGTACATCTCCAGCTAATGAGGTAAATGCAGTCCGAAACACATGAAGTTTTTGGGTGTATTGTTTCTTTATTGAGGTTTCTAAGTATGAAATTTATATTCTTATTAGTTAATTGAAGAATGGTTTGAACTATTGCGCAACCAGTTTCGTGCCGATGAAGAATCTTGTGTTGCGGTACATTGTGTCGCTGGTTTGGGTCGTGCTCCAGTACTTGTGGCGTTGGCACTCATTGAACTTGGATTAAAGTACGAAGATGCAGTCCAATTGATTAGAGAGTAAGTATATAATTGTTTTGGTATCGCAATTATGAAAAATTGTGTAGCTCTTGTATATTAATTTTATATTTTTGCGATTGTTTCAAAGGAAAAGAAGAGGCGCTATTAACGCAAAACAACTAGCTTTTCTAGAAAAATACCGTCCAAAATCTAGACTGAAGATAAAAAATGGACACAAGACCGTCTGTTGTATTCAATAAAAACTTCCTACACGCGCTCTGTTTTACCAAACGTAAACTAATAACCATTTTAAGTATAGCACCAACATAATTAATCCAAATTGAAAAACAAAAATTTCACTTCTAGAAATTCATAAACACTAACTAACAATAAATGTACGCTATTTACGATAAAAGATCTGATAACTTCTTTTTATTTAGTATAGTACAAAACCATAAGTGTGTTATAAATAAAAAACTTAATCCAAATGTTAAGCAAAATACGTATGTACAATATCGGTATTGCTTATTTTTTTCTCAATGAAATCTGCTTTATTTCAATTTTTAATCTAAGAGGTATAAAATAATACACTTGACAAATAATATATAATACTTATCATAGAGCATTTCTCGTACGAAAAAAAAAAAGTTCTATGATAATGTTTTCATACAATTGTATCATGTTGATTGATAAGACCGAACTAATTTTCTACTTTGATAATAATTAATTTTTATTCTATTTTATCTCGTACAAAATAATTGTTAAAGCTTTGCTTTTAATCGCAGTATAGTAACAACAGTGATGATCCCGTATTTGAGCGTTTTAAAAATAAAGTAGATCTTATTTAATCGATAGTATTCAATTTTGTTCATTAACTGATCAATCTATATGATATTGTAATGTGATAGTTATAATAATAATTATATTCTCATAACTCATACAACATTAAAACATTTTTATTATAATAAATATTGATGCAGATTACAACCATTATTTTACTCTTATCGGATACTTATTGTGAGTTTATTTTTGTTTTTATATGTAGGTAGTTTTGCGACCTTGTAGTTGTTTATTTGTAATCAAATAAACAAATCAAAATATAATGTAGATATTTAAATTGGTGTGTCTAATGGATATTATTATGTTCCTCTCCTTGACACGTTGCGAGGGCGTGATACCCCTTATTTATTAGGGGTAAGGTATATAGGCAACTTTTTTCCAAAATATTAATTTAAAGCTTAAACTATAAACTGTAATTAAAAAATTATTAGTTTAGTGATTAGGACTCCGCAAGGGTGGCAATGTTTTTAAATATTTTTTTCATTTAACACACTATGCAGAATGCGTTTTACTAGGTTCATGGTTGTTTTAAAGCGAAAACATCTATTATGAAATCGAAAGATAACATTTTGGAGACAATGTCATTGTATTGAAAATAACAATGTGAAAAAAAGTTGTAGCTATTTTAAATAATAAATATTAGGTTTATCAAAAAAAGGATATGACATTGTCTCCAAAATATTGTCATCTTTCGTTTTCATTATCGATGTTTTTGCTCTAAAGTCATCACGGAGCGAGTTTTTTTTATTATTATTAAAGTATTCCTGACTTAAGATCATCTTGAATTGGTGCTAAATTACATTTTTTTGCTATTTTAAACAAGGTAACAAGATAAATTATATTTTACAGTTCGTTAGGATAACAAACGTAGCGAGTAAAACACATTCTGCACAGGTAACGTCCTCTTCACCGGGTTTTGTTCAACAAAATCCCTAACGTTTAACCTTTTGATTTGAATAGTATTCTTACACACAATTAATGAAATGGCCGGTCTCCCACAGCACCGAAATGGTCTAGAATTAAGTATAACTTATTGCGTGTATGTGTTCATTAAATGACTTACAGAATGTTGTAAGCGCGAATTGCGCACTTGGAACCATAATAATTGTTTTTGGCGTATTTGAACTCTCGTGACCCCGTCATACTACAAAGACATGATGTTGACTATAATGGGTGTATTATGGGGCTTTTCCGCTTTTGTTAAGTTTGTTTCAAGCCATCTCAAAGTTACAAAAACCTGTTATGATCATCTTGTCGATTGTTCTTGATTCGAATAAAGTATGACTTTATTATAGAAGTTAGAGAGAAATAATATTAACGACTTGGGTGTCTGTGTTGCTTTTGGCAAATGGACGAATGCATAACGTATAAAAATAGTGACCAACCACAAACTGGCGGTCAACGTCGTTCCCAATCTAAATCTGCAGTTGGCTTTTTTCAAAATTGTATTTGATTAAAAACCAAAACTCATCCCTAACTTGTTCGAAAACTTGATGCCTTTACGTCAAACCAGAAAATCGCCATTTGTCGTCAAAATTTCCAATTAGTATTTATTTAAAATCTATTTTTTTCGTGTTGTATCTTCAAGGAATACCTATATTTCGTCACGTCGAGTATCTGTCACACATTTGGGGCGATGTTCGTCCACCGGTTATCGCATGGGGACGAGACCAAAACAATTATATAATATCTTAAATGCGTTATATATTGCACAGACTCTTGATATTGATTTTTAACGAGGTTTCACTGAGAGGTGAGTACAAAATCCATGCAATTATATATAATATTAGTCATCTCGGTAGGACTAGTCTATCAGAAGAATGATCATCGATCAGTTGAAATGTTAAGACGGTAAGTTCTTCGGTATCAAAAAAAAAAAAAAACGACTCCCAAACATTTTTTTTCTCAATTTATTTACCAACAATCAACACTGGACTTTAAGTTGGCTTCACTATTAATGATAGTTTATCGTTATTCGTTACCATTTATCAATGATCATGTCTTGTTTCGTTCTCTATTACAAAATTACATTAATGTTATGCTAAATGCTAAACGGCAACGCTGACAGACATCAAATGTAAATCATAACTTGCGTCTTATTTCATAATATGTTGACGCAAAAAGTCACTCCCGAGCACGTGACACTGATACAATGGTTCACAAACTAGTCTAGGCCTAATTAAAAATGTCAACCGTTCGATAATATCTCGATCCCTTTAATTAGCTAAAAGAAAGAAACCTCGATTAAATTCTAGAAATTAGAACGGCCTATTGAAGAAAAACTCAAAATTGATTTATCTTCAATCAAACGCTACATCCCATTAAATGTAGGCTTAAAAGATTTTACTACTATTTTAGAACTAACTACTAAAGCTGCCCAACTACCCACCTCCCACACACATACATGTTACCATATCAATTCTCAATGATTATTCTTCCTGGATTTTTGGAAGGGCTAAGTGCGTCACAGATTGTTAAGTACGGAATAAAGGTTGAAACACAAACATTTAATTAAAATTATTATTTGTATCATACGATACAATTTTTGAAAACTTAAATAAAATAACATAGACTATGAGCAATAATTATTATATAGGACCTTGTATTCCATTCTCTAATTTCTCTATATTATCCTCTAATTCTATTCTCTTTAATATTGCCATATTTCATTTTAAATATAATATGTCAGCTTATAGAAAAGTTGAATTTCAATTTCAACTGTTGAATGTCTATGAAATATGTGTATTTAAAAGGATTACTTGTTATAGGTACCTACTTAAGATTTCACCAACTGCCAAGCAGTTGGCACAGTTCCATTAGTAGGCGGACAACGGGTATTAACCGTTATTGTTGGTACTCTTTTTTTAAAATTATTTATACATGCACGGTCATCCATGTGTGTGTATTTCAAATTTCCTATACGCGGGCATATTAATAGGTGTGGAATAAATTAAGACATCAATCATCATCCTCAAAAAATAATTTTTACACATATTATCCGGTGTAAGATTCATAAAAGCCACTCTATGTTGAATCTTTATTTTAAATTACGAAAATCGTAACAACCTTTAAAATCGGTACTCTCGATTAACACATTAACTGAATGTGATTTTAATTAATCTTTACCTGCTTCAATTAAAAAAATATTTTGATTAAAAACCACCACCACTGGTTTATTCTTAATTACAATACAATCAAATATATATTGCTAGTTTACGTGTTTGAAGTTCATATTTGTCTGCCGACTGCCAACAATTAAAAATTTGAGTTAGTGTGTACAAGACAACAATGTGATGAATGATTAAGAATGATGTTTCCTTATACATAGTCTATTTGTTTTACTCTTAATTGACTAAGTTAATAACTTACAGATGTCACGAGTAGGTACTCTAATATTCGTTTCAATAAGTAGACCACAGAATGAAACATGACCTTTCTGAATGAGGCATAAAACAGACTTAGCCGCAATGAAGATACCACTACTTTGATTGACTGACTTTTTCGGGAGGGAATCTGAACCTCTTTTCTTTTCTTCTGAGTTATCTCCTTCCTATCACCCAATGACCCAAGTAATTCCTAAGTGAGTACATACAGGAACTGGCCAAGTGTTAAGCAATACAAATAAAAGAGCAGTGTTGCTCGTGAAAGGTAGGAGTGAAATGAGGTTATGAACTAAAGAAATAGCAGACTTGGCCCAATGTAGATATCACTACTTTGGTAGGCTGACTTTTTTAGGAGGGGTCTAGAACTTAGCCCTTTTTCACTGTTAGGTTTTTGTTGGAGGTATCATTCCTTTTTGCTGGCTTCAACGTCGTGGGCGTCGCACACAGGGGCACAAGGCCTCCAAAACTGGCAAAAAATAAATTTGAATTTAAACTACGAAAAATTTAGCAGTATGTAACATTACCTTATTATATTATTTTTGTTTGTACGATAACACCGTCAAATATAGCATATTATAGTATATAACTTTGATGGTGAGTAAACGAGTGAGTCAGTAACAAAAATGAAAACTTTGAAATTCTCCCCTTTTGAAAACGCTTACTATTAAGGGCTCGAATTTTTACAGTATCCTAAGCTACTCGAGCTTAATCTATGTTTCAAATTTCAAAAGCTTATCTTAACTCTTAAGGGGCCATTTACTATTTAGGTTCCAAGCTATTATACATCAGCAGCGGTTTTTCTTAAAAAAAAAAAAAAAAAATAGTTTGTTTTTTATTTACGTTAACTACGCCGTGAAACTTAACCTGTTAGAATTACAATATTTACGAGTACACTAACTTAACATTTGAAATTAATAATCATTTAATAATATTAATTAGGTATTATTTTAATATTAAAAATAATCTTGTTCATTATACACGCGTTTATTAATTTTTCACTATGTTTTCACATTAAATTGCTTGTGTATAATTTATTATTTTAGGCACTAAAACTTAATATAGATATATTATGCTAATTTCAGCCTTCTACGGCCAATAACAACATTACTTGGGTACTTTTTTCCTAATTTGAAAAAATAATGGAATTTGCATACATGTAAAGGATGTAAAAATGGTAGCAACTGTTATAATATACGTATATAATCCTAGAATATATTCATATTAGATACTACTATTGATTATAAATAATAAATATTTTTGATCAATGATATTACTTATTAAAAATAATATTTTGCAGTTTACAAAAGTGTTTTGCGTACAATGCTGATATGTGTATTGCAATAAAAAAATAATAATATAATCAGATCCATCCTACTCCGTTTGGAAGATTTTAAAGAATATAATAAATGGAAAAATATAGATATTATAATATTATAGGAATTTAATTTATTTCCACGCCGTTTGTAATAGCATTATTTATCAATATTTATAATAAATTTAATCAAGTACTTTTCACGGCTCACACAAAATTATAATGACTCAGAATTTAAGTTTGATTATTATTTCCTCAACTCATACGCTCTATAGCTGTTTTTTAAATAATGTTTTCTACTGTCCATAACATCATTTTTCAGTATTATTTCAACCATGATTATTTAAAAATACCAAATAAATAAAACGGAAATAAGAAACTTCTTACTGTGTGTAAAAATTTGGATTTTAAAAGTCCATTTAATATCTACAGTGACTTTATTAGTGGGTAATATTTTAAATAGGTAGCTTTGATACACGAGGAAAAAACACTTTTTATCACCATTTCGAGTTTCCAAATTTTATCCGTGAGTGAATGTGCATTTTGGTAACGTAATTTAAATAAACACATTTGCACTATATTATGAGTGTATTGTTATATTATAGTGAATGCGGTCATTTAACCCATACTGTTGGGAGTGTTAAAGTCTTAGAATGCAAGAACCAATGTGAAAAATCAGCAAAACAATAACTATTCCTGCGGTCGTTTCTGAGGTGTATATGGCGCAGAACGACCCCCACGAGACATCCGTAGTATGCGATGCCTATTTATGAGTACGAGTATAGTTTTTGGATTTTGTATCACCTATAGCTGTTTTTGTTTTTTCAAGGGAAAACGGTATTTTTAAATCGGTTCAGAACTCGCGTGCCTCTTGTGGTGACGAGGGACGTGCGCGGCAAACACAATAAAGAAAAATACACGTACACAGGACAGGACACGGGCAAAGACTAGATGGGTGACTGTCAGCTGTTCGGGGTATTTTTTTTTTTTTTATCTCCATCTATTCATCGACGCTCAGGGCTCGTTCGCCAAATACCTCCGGGCCTTCCATTCGAATATCGCCGTCGTACAAAAAAGAATTCGAGTTTGTCTTGTATTCTTCTATAGTACAATGCAATTTAAGGGGAATCTTTCTGGCACGCAACATGTGTGCGCTCGAGCGCGTGTGTCTCGGAACGCGTTCCTTTATTACTGCCGTTCTTGTTGTTGCCGTCCCGCCTCCGCCACTGTAGTGTGCACTATACACATAACAACCGGCATTGCCGTCGCTACCACCACCTTCTTTCCTTCCATATGCAAGATCTCGCAGTAAACACGAACAACTGGATTTGCCACGAAATTACTATACACCGACGTTTCAGCTGCCCTTCTATGCGCGACGGCTGTCAACCGGTGGCGGAACCCGAAGCCTAAAAAACAAAAAAATCATTCTCTCGCCAGCCGTTTAATTGCGGCGCTCGTGGGTAGTCCCGTTGCACTAATTACCACACTCGTCCATCGTGCACCTTTTCTCGAGAACATTTATCGATAATTATTATTGCTGTCCGACTGGTTGCAGCGTACAGATTATGCAGAGTTGGTTTACCTCCTGGGGTTGTTATTTTAAGCCCGAACCAGTTACGATTTTTTTTTTATTGGATACGCATGAACACAGTATTTTTAGGTAAATACCAAACGTTTCCTGAACATGGCGAAAAAACAGCTGATATTATGTACTCATGATGATTACTATGGTAATGAGTATGCTTATGGTAACCGAAAAACTGGTTCATATTCTCATCTGTTGAACATATAACAGCAAGGTGTCTCCTTCTTTTTTTTTTTTGTACGCTCCCGGCCGTTTGTTCTTGTCGCCCCCGTCGACGGCCGTATAAAATGCACGCAGGGTGAACGCTCCCCATCTTTATGCAGTCGTCGCCACGTCCCTCCCCCTCTGTTTTTGGGCACGCTCGACCACCTGCCATCGGCGGCGGCAGGCCCGTTCTGCAGCAGTGCAGCTCACTGCTCAATCGTCGGCCGTGTCGAGCGCGCGTTCTGCACTAGTGTTTTTATTTAAATTTTCGTCGTCGGTTTGCAATCATCGCCGCTATGGGGCGGTTGGACGACGACATGAACCAGTTGGATCACCATCTCAACATGATGTTGGACGCCATCGAACGGATCGAGCGGAACAGGTGCCCCGGGAGCCGCCGGCGACAGCCCGTCCGGCTACTGCCTATGCAGGCCGAACTTCGCACCCTGGAACTCTGGCGGTCCGTGATGGCCGAGTGTCTGGCCACTTTCCTGTACGTGGCCGTAGTCTGCGGAGCAGCCACTTCGGACGCCTCGCCCGTCCTAGGAGCGGCCGCCGCTTCCGGGTTCACCATGCTCGCGCTCACCATTTGCCTCCAGAACGTTTCGGGTAAAATATCATATGAACAAATTTAATAATAATATAATGGTTAAACGGGTCTTAGACTGTTGGGTCATCCAAATGTGACAAATCTATAGAGGGCTTAAGATGATCCAGGGTGACTTATTGCAGATTTAATCATTAGATTAGCACCCCCTCCCCTAAATTTAGGTCTATATGCGCCTCTTTGAACGTCTTACGTTTCATGTGGTAAAAACGTTGACAATATAAAATAGCGGGGAAGCGTGGCCGAATAAGAAGAACGACGGTGCATTTAGACGGGACGACGTCGGGGGAGGAAAACATACAAAAGGCATTGCCGATTGTTTGCAGTGCGTGAAGTGTACACGACATGGATTTCGGTGGGTTGAATAAATTGATATGTGCGACCGACTATAATAATGAAAATAGCGAAAAATTAGTTCGAAATTCGAATAAACTTCAATACGACTTTTTTAACCCTCCGTTAAATGCAAATAAGTTTATTAACAACCCTGCGACATAAGATTTCTAAATATTTTTAGGCAACACACACTAACGAAGGGTTAATGGTTATTGCAACTAGGTCAGTGTAATTCCAAATTAGCTCAAAATCGTATGAATTTCCTGTTTGCCTCCGGGCTCCGGAATTTAAGTCGGTATTGCGTTAGCCTTTCCTGCTATACTATTTTGCAGAACATTAATACAAATCAAACGGTAAATGGTTTTCAACGTTTACTGTAGAAATCGTTTTACACGACGAACACCCCACATACCATGTACACGCGAACAGTCCCTTGAAAAAGAGGAAGGGAAGAGCAAGACACTTGAATGGTTTACCACAGGCTCTAATTCTTATTGAACGTTTTTTTGTTTGTTTGTTAAAAATAAAAGGAACCTATTTATCCCGGCGATATCATAGTAGTAAATATATTCAAATGTGTTCGCCACATGTGTTCACAATGAACGGGTCTTTCATCGTCTCTTCGTCGTTCAAGACAGTGTGTTTGCCAAGCATCAATGGGCAAAACTAATAATAATATTATTTATCGTTGTTGTTATTTTTGGAAAACATAATATTCGTTTTGTTCTTTTTCGAATGCGTGTTTTTTTTAATAATCAATGCAGCGTACAATGATGATTTTGGTGCCGATGAAATTACTTGTAATGCCGTACCGTTTATACGTCCCTTTCGGGGGAGGTGGGGAGGGAAGAGCACCTGGTTTCTCTTTTGGCGTTACCTTGTAATGTTATGATCTTACCTATAATAGTATACCGTGTTTCCTCCCGAGTCCTGGTGATTACTGTAGAACCACCTGCGCGATCCCGGCAACATAAAGGTCGTGTGCCGGTGCCGATATTACAGAAAAACGGTCGAAAAACGTTGTTTTTAGTATTCATTTTTTTTTTTTTAATTTTATTTACATGATATCAATAGATTATATTAATAGTGGCGGTGCTAACTGCGGCGTTATAATGTATCCCTTCTGGGCCGGGTTTAATTGACCGCCACCGTCACATCCAGAGGGTTGAACAATACGGCGTTTATTATTATTATACACGGGCGCACATGTTCGCCGCCGACCTGGTCCGTTGATCTCGATAAAAAACGCTTAGAAAAAAAGTGATCCCTCTTCGGTAATAAAAAAAAAAAAAAAACTGTATCGGTTGACAATTGGTACTCGAGCGCGGCGGTAAAAATTATAAGGGCTGCAAGTGTATATTGTTCGGGCGACAATGAGATAATGATTAAGTCGGTGCGGTTATAATATAATATGCAGCGAGCATCTGTTGAGATTTATTTTTTTTTTTTTACTATTTTGAAACCGTTTTGACCCCGATCGTGTTGGCGGTGAATTATTTATTAATGTTCGGCTCGTTTGGCCGCGACGAGGGCGAGGGACCATCAAACGGGCACCGACAAAATAATAATAATATGAACTTGTCATTTAACTTCATCTACGCATGTAAAACACAAACTCGACGGCGATGGCCAAAAGCCAAAAACAAAAAATTATAATTGCGTTTGATTTTTTTTTGGCAATAGCCTTTATAGCGATTGTTGCGAATCGCTCGCTTCCACCCCCCCATTTTGGATAGGTGGTTTTTTCTTTCAACACACATCAATCCGGTGTGGCGATCATGGTTTTTTTTTTTTTTGTCCGTTCAAAGTTAATAATAACTATAATATGCGACACGGCAACAGACGAAAAAAGTAAAAAAACAAGACGTCATCGCAAACGCCATCGAGCACACGTGTTTACCATTTGCTCGCGATGACCGACTTACATGGGCTACAACAACGGCCAAATTCGTCAATGGCATTTAATTATTATTACTAAAAAAAAAAAAGAATATAAATCAAAAAAGAGTTCACGCGCCAAGCGAACAAGCGCAATGTGAATAATAAAAAGTTTTACAATGTATTAACGATAATGATGTTATTATGCGTACTTTTTTTTTAATGAAGATTTTTAGTTCTAAAAATACCAGGTGGACAATGTAAGACACTCGTTTAAAAAGTATAAAAATAACAAACATTTAATAATTTGAAAATATTTAAATTTTACTGTAGTTACTAATACACCTAATTGTACCACGTAACTGCCTCACCTAACAATAGAATTATGAGTTTCTCCGGTTACATTTACATGATAATTAAGTACCTAAATATTATAAAACTTTCATAATCCAGATTAATAAAAAAAAAAAACGATAAGTGCAATATTAATGTCTAAATAAAAAATATAGTACTTACAAACAATATTGAACGAAAAAATTGACAAATTTAAAGTTATTTGAAGTTTTCAAATGTAATCATTTTTTCATTATCTTTTGACTTTAATAACTTTTCAAGCAAGTAATTTAGTAGTACATTTACACTTAAATACATATTGTATCAAAAATGAGTATCAACGAAACTTTAATATGGACGGAATAATGATGTTTGTAAAAATTCGAAATTTTGTAATCCCACGCCTAAATATGTATTATTTATGGAGTTGTTAAATTACAAGTTTACAAGTAATATTCTAATAATTACAACTTGACGTGTACAAAGGAGAATGCATCAACGGAAATAAAAATGAAATGCTCGAGTGGCTTAACAAAATGTGTACGATACAGTTTTTCCACACTTATTCCTGTTAATTGTTTTACCCAGGGCCCATCACACAGGGCTATCCTTCCCATCAGACTAAAATATGGTACAAACATGAATACAAGTAATTGTTTGATAATATTATTTAAATTTGCTTGTGAATATATACGGTTTCCTTATATTCTGGAGTGCTCCTAGCTAGAAAATGTTTAAAAAAACGTTGGGTTAAGGTTTTTTTTCTAAAAGTATAAAATATCCTTACACGTTCCTAATGGGGTACATGCAAAGGTGTTAATAGAGGTGGTCGATGATTTTTTTACAGGAGGACACATAAATCCTGCTCTGACGACCGCCATGCTGATCACGAGGAGGATAAGTCCCGTCAGGGCCGTCATGTTCGTGGCTGCACAATGCGGGGGCGCGGTGGGAGGCGCCGCCGTTATATACAGGTATGATGCAATAAACCCTTTTGCCGGAGATCTTTTGTGTGGAGAATTCAACGCGTGACACGTACACCGCATCGCGTGTTCTGTACTATAATCCTATATTCAAGCTGCCAAAGTCCTGCTTGTACCATATTATACTACTTACACGTATCTTAATCTAAAGGTATACCCGTATCGTTTTTTTTAACAGCGTTTCCGCTCGCAACTATTTCACCAGCCTGTACGACCTGCCCAACAGCAGCACCACCCCTTGGCAGCGGTTCAGCCTGGGTCTGCTGCTCATGTTTTTCATAGTGTTCACTTACTATGTGACAAACAACACGTTTCACAAATGGACGGGCACTTCGGCCACGGCAATTGGAGCAGTTTACTTTGCTTGCGGCCTGGTGGCGGTAAGACATAACAACCCCACAATGGTCTCATACAAATACCCAACGAGTAACTTTTTACAGATGCCGTTCATAAACCCGGCCTGCGCTTTTGGACCGGCGTTGGTGATGAACCACTGGGACAACCACTGGGTAAGTACGCCAATATTTTCAGGTAGCTCAGTAACTGCGACCGTTCCTCTTGTTTCCCGACAAATGCTTTTAAGATTAGCCGGTAAAAACCCGGACCTAACCATATTTCAGGCCTTGACAATTAACATACAAGGTGGCATGTGATCTACACTTATATCAACTACAAACCTATATTTAATCACTATATTTTAGGTTTATTGGTTCGGTCCTGGAGCCGGAGGAATTATTGCCGGCATCGTGTACGACCTTATATTCAACCCCCAAAAGCGAAAAGCCACGTTGGACGACCTTCACGGTAAGACCTCCCCAATCAGCCCTTAGCCGCTAAACCCTTTAAACCAAACCTAACCGGCGCTGCTTTTCATTCACATTTAACAGACGATGAGAACATGTGTCAGATTCAAATACCTCACAAAGTCATCAGACCTCCGCTCTCTCCTCCCACGTTGGCGCCCGAAATCGACATACCCGAACCCTTGTACGAAGGAAGCAAATCGCTGTACACCCGTTCGCCCGTCTTGAGCCGAGCAAACTTGAGTCGTTCCCAATCGCTCTACTACTCAAAATCGACACACAACTTGCCGCCTCGCGACTACCTACCGCGGCCAGGACCTTTGTTGCCAGCGCAATCTCTGTATCCACTAACGACCACCGCTGCCGCTCCCTCGGCCTGTAACGACAGGTCGGACCGACAAAATCAACAGAATCAACAAAGGCAATACGAACCGACTTACGGCACTAGGAGTTCTACCACGACCACAGCCATAGCCAGTGGCAACCATAACGGTGTGTAGATCAAAAGCTAACGCGACTCAAATAATGAACTTATGTAAACATATTTTTGATTTTTCTTTATAGGAGGCGTATACAACAAGACTAACAGAACTGATTCTTATCGACAGCCACCGAAAGACTCGGCCGACGACCTCTACGGCATTTACGGCAACACTCAAAACAAAACACAAAACCATCACGGCAATCATTCGCGAAGCGAATATGTTTATCGGTGGACACCTCCTAACTCGGTTATGCACGAGTACTCTTAATTAATGTATATGTATACTTGTACAGTTTCATTTTGTAAATACCATAGATTAAACATACAAACACACATGTAACTTTACCTATTTCAATACGATTGGACTGCATAAAACACATGGTCTTATAGTGAAGTCCAAAGAAGCGCTGCTAAAAAGCATACAATATGGTCTATCTATGTGTGTTTAGTCAATGTAAATACTAAACGATTAATTGTATATAATTATTTTGTATAAAGTAGAACTTTTTTATACTTTTAAAAAAAAAAATAAAAACTCCCTGAGTAACAATAATTAGATCTATTTTAATAACATCAATAATAACAACGATAAATATAATTCTTATTGGTTTAAAGATATATGACGTCTTGTGCCCATTTTAAAATTAAAATAATATTGAACGGGTGTGCTGTGACATAAATAAGTAGTTTTTTTAAACAATTTTTGCGCATACCAATGGCACGCTTCAATTGGTCGATCGCTATTTCTCAATTCGTTAATTACCTTAATTTCGGTATTATCAAATGTTGTGTTTTTCTCCAATATCTTTTTAAGTTTATCTCCACTACAATGGACAAACGGACAACCACCTTCTTCTGACAATTGACTAGAATTTTGCTTCTAAAATAACCAAACAATTATAAAGACAAAATCAATCTATCTCTCTCTCTTTCTCTACAAAATATTTAATACTTCAACATACTTGAATAAAAGAACAAGATTGCATATTGTAATTTTTCTTTGATCCAACCATGCCATATGTATGTTTAACGTTGTATATAATTTGTTTGTGATGTTCATTCCATGTATGAGTACACGTACTGCCTTGATTGTCAATCATGCTGTATTGTTGTTTGAACATTTCTAATGTTTGTTCTATCGGTACCCCAATGTTTTTTAAAAACAATGTTAACAGATAACGAGAATCGTGTGCTAGGCGGTGGTTTGAAAACAAAGAATCCAACGACAAAGACATGCACGGCGGTAGCAAATGTCGATTTATATTTAATTCTTCAAAAGTTACATTCTCAATATTATTTCTCCAGAACGCCACCTTAGAATTATAAAACATGTCTATTCGATTTGTTATGTAATCAAGCCGCAAGTCGCTTTCGGGCAATGTAGAACAACACCTGCGTATTTGGTATAAGGACTTATAGTATATTAAACGAAACAAATCTCTTAACAAACCATTCCAAAATTTACAAGGCACACATGCATGTCCTTTTGTAATAAAAACTTTGTACTCGGTCATTAAAGACAAGCACTTCTGCCAAGGAACTAAAAAAAAAAGAAAACTTATTTAGTTAAATAAACCAAGATACAATGAAAAAAGCAAATTATTTTTGATCAATTCACCTGTAATATGTTCTAGATCACAGTTATCACCACAAGGCTCGTGTTGCTTATCCTTATACTGTTCACAGACTTTTAACAGCACATCAATATTGTCATCAGTTTTATTCAAACATTTTATGTCATCTATTATCTGAATCAGATATTTTCTCAAGTACTTAGGCGTTAATAAACGCAAACGTTCCGCAATCAGATTACACTCTCCTTCAATAATTGTTTCTTTTAAATCTGGATCTTTCGTTAAACTCGCATGTGTTCTGAGGGGGAAACATATATGTATAATTACATAAAGGGTTTTTGTGTTTTAAAAATTGTACCATGGATAATGGCTATGATTATTCATTATTTCCCTATGTTTAAGTACATACCTTAAAGATAAAAATCCAACATAGTCTAACAATGATGAATTCTTGAGATATTCAATGTGTTTTGGCTTTTCACTTAACTTTCCGTAAGTAACAAAATGAATTAACCGTGCTAAAGAAGAGTCTTCCACTTCAATTATAGATATGTTTATATCGGGTACGTGTAAGTAGAACATACTATTTAAATTATTAATAAAATATAGTCATCTAATAAGCAATTAAAAAATTAAAAATAATAACCATTCCAATGATTGAAAACTACAGTCGTAGGTTTTTTTAATTTATAAAAATAATTTTAACTCTTATTAAGTAATACAAGTACTTTTCAGTACAAGGTGAGCAGTTTTGTCAAAGAAAATGTTGTGCCATTACATGGTATTTTACTTTTCAAAAAAACAAACCGTTTGTTATCATTTTTTGTTTATAAATGATAATCGATATTGATAAATCAGATTACCAGTTTAAGATAATATAGTGAAATATTATATTCTGTAAATATAAATGCATTATAGTACATATTTTAATTTGTTAAAATTAAAATATCTAAAAATAAATAGTTAAATGTTTTTATAAAAAATCAATTACCCCTGTAAAATAATAAGTAATTTAATATCCTTAAGTGTTAAAAGCCTAATATGTTGATGTTGGTACCTTCTAGGCAAAGATGATAAAATAACTTTATCATTTTTTCTCGTATTTTATTTTAAAAATTTAAATTAGGATTCTAATTTCAAAAAAGAAGAATTTAAACAGAGTTCTTATTTCTTAATATTATTGTATACTATTATTGTTGATATTCATTTAAACTATTTAAAAGCTTTTTTTACTATCGAATATTTGTTAACCTTGTTGTTTCACGTTTTGTTTTAAATCCAGGTAACATATTACATTTAACTATTGCGAAACTTTCTTTAAAGTTATTAGTTATTACTTACTATATTTTATTTGGTTAAAAAACAATCTAGTTACTATTGTAAATTTAATATATATTTTTTTAACATAATTATTATTTTATTTAAATTATTTACACGTGCCAAAGGTATTCTTTAGAGTTGATTCAATGTATTTCATTGCTGATATGGTTAGGGCAAATCAAACTACAAAATCAGCCTTAAAAACTACTAAAACATTAGCATACTATGGTACAAGTCAATTTGAAAACATTGGAGAATTATTGTTAAACTTTGTAAATTTAATTTAATTTAATCAACCATATAAAGCTTTATCCAGCTAATATAATATAATTTACAGTATAAATAATTTATAATTCTTTTATCGATACAATACAATTTTTTAAGAATTAATAATAAGTTTTTTTTTCTTATAAATAAATGTTTGTAAGTTGCTTTTTGTTGTTAATAATTGATTTATTCACAATTTCTATCTTATTCTATTATTTAATAACAGTAATAATGAATAATATAATAAGTTTTTGTACCAGCTTAATATAATTCAAATAAAACTTCATGAATTACAATCATAATGAGTTTAATTTATTTTTCAGACGGCTTATGGTTATTGGATACTATGAATTTAATTGTTCGGCGATTTTTTTCTTCATTACGAGAGAAATCTGTTTTTATTTCAAGGTCTAAAGATGTATTTGAAAACCTTGCTTTAGAACACTGGTACTACCGCCATTATGACTTCACCGATAAATCTATGTTGCTCTTATGGGTAAACCACAATTGTGTTGTGATTGGTCGACATCAAAACCCTTGGCTTGAAGTAAATTATATTCCAACGATAGATACACGAGTTGCAAGAAGACAGAGTGGAGGTGGTGCTGTTTATCATGATAGTGGAAATTTAAACTTGTCATTCTTTACACACAAAGAAGAGTATAACAGAAAAAACAATTTAAAACTCATTGTGCAAACTTTAAAAAATGAATGGAGTATTGTTACGGAAATAAACAAACGAGAGGATATTGTCTTCAATAATAAGTACAAAGTTAAACAGTTTATGCAAAGCTTCTATACTTTCTCTTAAAATCTTTAATTACACTTGTTGTATTATTGTTTGCAGATTTCTGGCACTGCATCAAGATTAGGTAGACCAAATGCATATCACCATTGTACGTTACTGATCAATTGTAATCGAGAATTTATGTCAAAATTATTAAGCAAACATGAGGTAATATATTAAAACTGGCGTCATTCTGTTTTTAGCTTCGATGCGTAGCTGAGAAGGTGTTGGTTTTATAATGATCTGTTTTTATTTCTATGTTTGTGTATAGATTTACAAAAACTTTTTAGTAGTGACCTGATGTCTACATGTAGCATGTTTTAGATCAGAAGTCAAAACCAAAAGGTACTTTATTAAAGGCCAAAAATTAAAAACTCCCTTTCCTATTCATAATGGAGAAAGTCACCTTAAAAATTTACACATTAACTCTTCCCTTTAGAGAGGGTAGAATCTTTTTTTATTCTGCTTTTTAGGTGTATTTTTAGGACTTGATTCTGAAAATGTATAGTAAACCCCTATAATATTAAAAAATGTTCACTTTTTTTCTTAAGAAAAAACAGAAAAAAAAAGCTAAATTACACGATTCTAAGTACAGTTTGTATTAAATTATAAATATTACCTGTTGATATATAATTATTATCATTTTTGTGATATTTCTTATTTAAAATGTTGTACAGAATTAATTCAGCATATCAGTTTAATGTAAAACATTTGTTTTTTTTGAAATAATGGTAAATTTTGTAGTTTTTTTTTTTTATATTGTTAAATATTTTACATAATTTATCCAACATATTATTTAGTAAATTATTATCAACTTGTTTAAGAAATTCATACATAGCTGATACTTGTAGTCGTGGTTTTTTTTATTAAGGAATTCAAAAAATTAAATAACATGATTAACATAGTTACTATTTAAAAAATGATTGATAGTTTTTACCATTTATCTCTATTTACAATAAAGTGATTACTAGATAGTGATTTTATCACTTACAACTATATCCTGAAGACTTGTGGTTCCCTATGCCCACTATGCCCTGATCGTACTGGGTTGGTCATTTCATTTATAATTTAATTTTAAATATTTTTTTTCTAGAAACATATTGAAACTAACGCTACAGTCAGTGTACCATCGGATGTTATGAACTTAAAACAAATTGACTATAAAATATCAATCAATAGACTAATAACTGCTGTAGGGATGGATTATCTACAGTTAGTAGGAGATGAAAACACAATTAACAATGGATTTAATTATATCACGCCAAACGAAGAAACATTTCCTGGTAAAATAAACTTCATGTTAAACCATGTACTAACTAAATGTGATACAGAAAGCGAAAAATGAGCCTCTTGTGACTTGTTGGCAATGTTGGTTTAAAAAAAAAAAAATTAAAACATTGTTCAAGTTCAAAGTGCAATAACTTAATCATTTTTTTAGCTAAAAAAATGTACCACGTCTCAAACTGTCCAAAAATCAATCAAGATTTACCAAAATAAGTTTTTCTTACTAAAAAAAAATATGCCTACAAGAAATCCCTTTTCACTTTTCTCATCACACATATTGATTGTTATTACTTAAGTACTATTATTCCTTGATAGTTGATTAAGTTAGGTTGGATTACACTGAAATTGAAATTGTTTTGAAATAAAAACTTTATTAGAAGAAAACAGTGAACTCTTAAAAAGAATAATATATAAACCATATCTGTCAAATTGTATATTTTGTAACACATTTTCATTTGGCAAGGATGTTAAAGTTACGTATTAATGTATCCAAAGATATGAGTATTGAGAGCAAAAATACCTTAAACAAAAACGAAAAATGACAAGGTTTTAGAGACAATATCATATCCTTTTTTAGATAAACCTATTATGTAGCTTAATATTTATATTTAACATTTAAAATCACATTTTTTCCTATATAAAATAGCTATAACTTCTTTTAAATCATTATACTCAAAAATAGATTACGACATTGTATCTATGTATGAAATGTTATTCTCTTTCAATTTTGTGGTATGTGTTTTTGCTCTAAAATCACTGACAAAGATGCTGTGAATGTGATAGTCCCAAAAATAAATTAACTACCAAAAAGGAGATCTAATTACTAAACTGAAGTTTACTTTAAATTAAAATTTTGCAAAAAATTGCCTATGCCTAACTCTTTAATATATATGGGGTATCACGTCCTCCAGCGCAACTTATGACTTTTAAATCTTAATCGTATTACCTAGTTTTCATCATGCAGATGAAACTTTATATTTGTCAATTTATCAAAATTTATAATAAACCCTGTAACTGGAAACGTGTTATTCGACTCAGGTTTTATAATTTGATTGACATGAGTGACTAGACATTTTATTAATTAGATTTACTTATTTTTTGTCTTATTATTTATCTTTTTTAGTTATATATTTTACTAAATTCACTAATTGGTGGTTTTATGTTATACTACCTTACAGTATTTACATTAAAATTACAGGCCTTTTCTTTTTTTTTTCTGCCTGAAAACATTTTTTTTGTTTTTGCTAGCTACTAAGTAAGTCTTTAAAGTTATTGTTATGGACAATTGCATCTCTTTTAATGAAAACTCTATTGTACACTTAAATCATGTACTATCCAAGTTATAATTTTTCATTGAAGTTTACATTTTTTTTAAATGCAGGAATAAATAGCATTAAAGAAGAAATGAGTAGTTGGGAATGGAGGTATGGCCGAACACCAAAATTTACTATCACTGTTAAGTCAAACAATGGATCAGCTATTGTATCAGTAAAAAATGGTAAAATTGAGAATGTTTCAACATTGCTAAATGTAAGTTTAGAAAAATTTATTAGTAAACAATTTAGTGAAAATATTGTTAATGATATAAAAACATGTTTAGATGTCATGTAAGTTTATTATATTTGTTACATGAGAATTTCTTTTTTGTTATTTTTAGTTAATATATAGAGTTGTTACCAAATAAACAAGTTTTTATTTATCAAGCTTATCTTCCATTTCATTTTCCATATTCTTATTTTTAAGGGTTCTCTCATGTTATGTTTTAATTTCAGTTTTTAGATAAGATTCAAATAAAAATTAATCAATTTATCTAAAAATTATTAATTTAATTCTTTACTTTGCAGTACAATACAATTTAGTATCTTGATTTAATTCATTATAAAATAATATTTTATAAAATGTAATAATAATAAAATCAATGCTTTTAAGAGCTGTCCAAGCAAATTTGCATATTTTAATGCATTTGACCTTGTAATCATTGACCTGTCCAATGTCACTAGTTTGACTTTTTATCAATTTATGAATTACATTCATCAGCTACAATTACATACATACAACTCTAGTAATATTGTACTTGTAACCTGATAATATGATATCAGCAGCTGTAAATTAATATTTAACTCTAAAATTATGTGTTATTAAAATTGTTTTTATAAGGTATTATATTTTTTTCTCTCAGAAAAATCTTTATTTAAACAGTATATATTAATCAATAAAATATATTAAAATTATTCTCATTTTTATTTAGATTTAATTTGATAAATTATTATCTCTGTTTGAAATAAGTAATGCTTAAATGTTTTTGTAGACATAACAAATATATCATTTGTTTTATGTTTATAAATAAATAAAATTATTATAAAGATAAGGGTTTGATAATAGTAACATTAAAAAAAACTAAAAACTGCATTAAGATGCAATTTAATTTTTAATAGATATACAAATATTATAACAAGAATAATATGACCAATTATTTGCTAAATATAACTAAATTCTCATAACTAAAATATTAGGTTGATAATGTATATTATAGTTATTATTTATCATAAATAAAAATAGGTTTACATTACGCCATAGTTATAACATTAATGTCAAAGGCTAATAGCATCACAATCTATGGTCGGAGACGGTTGCTTTACAGAGAGCGTGCACAATAAGATTATATGAAAAGCTTAATAACTATAACATATATAATACATATTTGATCAGTCAATCCAAATCATAAAAAATAAAAAAAAACCAATGAAACATGGACACTCGACTAGTAGTCTATTGTTCTTTCAAAAAAAAAAAAGTGTGAGTATATTATTATACACCCTGCTACTGTTTGACCTTGCATTTGGAATGAAAGTATAAAAGTGAGAAACATTGCTTTTGATTGACTTGTCCAACACCGCTGACAAACGACTACCGAACTTTAGGAACTTTTCTGCTAGGAAATCAAATACTGAATTATAAATTATTGGATAAAAAATTAGAACATAACGTTAAGATTAATTTCTAAAATAAAATACATAAATCGACTTATACGTATGGTATTTTTGTTTTTTTGTTTGGTATGGTAAAAACGTGCTTGGCTACTAAAACGAAAATAAAAAGAAGAAAAAAATTCTTATTTTAAAAACGGTGACACCGTACAGTGGAAGTTTAATCCGTTCTGCCGACCTGTCACTTGGTTGTCCTGCGAGATATGTTGGTGGCAGCGCTTTTGGACGATTGGACAACATCGGCTTCAACAGAATTGCTCAAAATGTCTTTGTCCATTTTTATTGTTTTCTCTTTGCGTTTCATCAATAACACAATACCCACTATAGACACCAATAAAATGATTGCGCACAAGTAGAGGGGCTTGACCGACTGCCATTTTTGTTGGCTTCCCACATCAGCTTCTAGATGCTGATAGCCATGTACTTCTCTGGTAACGATCCTTGCTGGTCTCGCCAAAATCGTGCTGTGAGGACAGTTAGCTTCGCGCACGTATCTAGCCCAGGTGCGTTGAACGCTAGGATCTTTTCTGAGCGTCTTGAGTTTTGTTTCCTTGATGGGCGAAGTCTTCGGGTCAAAGTTGCACACCAAACTCTTCTTTTTCTTATTGTTGATATTGGTGTCTATGGATTTTGTCGAACCAACCAGCACGCCAATGTTACCTTTGATTGCCGAAGCCCATTCCCACATGTCCATCACGTAACAATCGCACTTCCACGGGTTGCCGACTAGTTTTAACGACATCAGTTGATGGTTGTAAGTAAATTTGTCCGGTTTGATCGAAGACAGATTGTTTGCACTCAAGTCCAATTGTTCCAATCCTGACAGGGGTTCCAAGAATTTCATCGAGTTCTCTTCTTCGTTTCTGAGCTTGTTATCGCCCAATAAGAGTTCGGTGATGTTGGGCGTGGACGCAAAAGCGTCTACGGGCAACCTACTCAAATTGCAATTGCTTATGTCTAAATTTTTCAATCCCGACAACTGTAACGGTAATATAGGACCTTCTTCAGGGACTTGCAGAGGATTTCCAGACAGTCTCAATTCTTGAAGGTCCGGATACGTGAAGTTATCGTAAAACACGGTGTCGTTGAGGCGGGCCAAGCCACAGTTGTTCAATTCCAATACTTCCAACCGAGTGAGATTTTGGAACAATCCCGATTCGAGACTCTTGAGTTTGTTTCCGGACAATATAAGCGTTTTCAAAGCAGACATTTTCAAGAATGTGGTCCTGGAAATTCTTTGTAGATTACTGTAGCCCATGTCCAAATGTTCCAGCGACTCCAACGGAGATAAAAGTGCTGTGAAAGCGTTGTTCAATGGGTTTCTCGATATATCCAGTTCTTGCAAGCTGGTGAATTTGTGGAATGTGTTTGCCGGCAGTCGTGTCAAGCCGCAATCTCTCAACGACAATTTCACCAACTTTAACAATGGCGATAAAGCCACTGCCAAGTCGGCAGCAGACAAAGGGTTACCAGACAGAATAAGCGTCCGCAGTTTTGTAGCGTTCGCAAACGCGTCTTCGGATAATGGTCCTTTTAAATGACAGTAACTGAGATCGAGGAAGTCTAAGTGTACTAAATTGTGACCCAAAGTCGTAGCGACATCGAGATCCGACAACTCGTTTTCCGCCAACACTAAACTCCTCAACCATGTGTTGTTCGAGAAAACATTTTCGGGTAAATTCGAGACGCCCGACTCTCTTAGGTCGAGATGTTCAAGTCGGCCCAAACTGCCCAGAATTAGAGTCCAGTCGACGTGGCTTTTTAAACTGTTTCCGGCCAATTCCAAAACGGTGAGATGGCCAAGACTGGAAAACGCAACGCTGGAAATATGTGTGAGGTTGCAGTTATTGAGTATGAGATGTTTCAGGCTGGTCAGAGGATCGAATATGCCGGGCTCGATGATATGAAGTGGATTGCCGGACAGATCCAGTTTGTCTAAGCCACTGATGTTGGCGAAAAAGTGAGGCGATAATTTGGACAGGTGACAGTTCGACAGGTAGAGGTACAACAACGATTTTGAATACAAGAATGGGCCTTCTACTGGTTCCAGCGGATTCCCTTGTAACTCCAATGTAATCAACCCAGCACTGTCCCTGTAGTATGAAAGAACAAAATTAATAATTAATACGCACATGAAAAAATAAACAAAAACGACAGGTCGTTATTATTTATCAGTGTTTTTTTAAAGATTTCAGCATTCACACGCTATTATACTCGACAGTTATACACGAAGGCTCAATTAAGGTTGGGAGGCAATTTTATCACTTCCAATATAGTGTTATTAATTCTTTAGTTGTTTTTTAAGATAATATTAAATAGATTACTTGTACAGAGTTGCAAAACGAATTTTTTTTATAAATGGTCGGAGTCATAATGAATTTCTTTAATCGCTAAAATTAAAAATTAAATAGTTTCTTTTTGTGTCAATGCTTAAAGTAATGTTAATTACACGTTCAAAAGAAATCGTACTAAGTTTTTGCATCTTCAAACGTAAATGACACAGTTATACGAAGGTGATTCTTAATTAGAGTCGAATAATTGTTGCTTTCGGCGAATGCAATTTAAATAACATTTGTGTGCCTTTTCCGTGTGCGTCAATTGACAATGGAATTGACCTTGGGTGCGACAAAGTGGAAACTGCGAATTGGTATATTTGATTAAAATGATACGCGGGGAGAATTAAAAGTTGTTCCCGGACTGATGAAGACCTTGTAGAGGCCAAACACCCATGCAGGTACATGTCCCTAACCTAAACTAGATACTACTTACACAAATGATTCTGGATCGACGTAATTGATCAGATTGGAGGAGAGATCGATGTCCAACAAATAGTGTAGGCCGGCAAAAGTTGTTTTGTGGATCTTGGTCAGCATGTTCTCGGCCAACGTCAGTGTCCTGAGCTTGAGGTCGGCTGGGAACGGTTCGATTTCCTTCAGGTGGTTACCGTTCATGTTAAGAATGTACACATTGCTGTCGAGCCCATCGTGAGGGATGCCGGTAAGATTGCTCTCCGAACAGTCGGTCACCCAATTGATCCGGAAAAAATGGCAATCGCAGTCCTCCGGACAATCCAACTGCTCCGACAGAATAGCATTGGTGTTGTACACAGTGTATGCCAATAACAAAGTGACGACAAAAATGATGACAGATTTATGCGTCGCCATGGTGCGACTAGACACTCAAAGAGCAACTCTGAAACAATCAAGACGTTTTTATTAAAACTGTGTGTAATTTATCGAACATTCTCTATTTTGTCTTCGAGGCTCTTCTTAGTTAGCTCAGTTAGTTTAACCGCCAATTAGTACTTTGGATTGCCAGTCAACATTAATTTTTCCTAAAAGAATAAATAATATATTCGAACTTCCCAAATAAAAACGTTCACGCATACTTTCCCACTTTTTACTGCGCGATTGGTGGAGCATTTTGGTGGTAAAAATATGAAGTCCGGAGTCCTCCTCTTCGTAATACTTATAATAGTATGGATTATAAACCACGGGGTGCTAACTTCAAAATTAGAGGTGCTTAGCATGCCCAAACCCACCCAAATTACGCCCTAATAGGTTTCAGCGTGCTCCTCGACGTTACCAGCTTAAAATTAGTATTTTATTTTGCGGTTTTAGTCGTTAATTGTGTAGCAATCGCAGATTTTCAGAATAAATAAAGTTTTGTTCAAGTCATTTCCTAAAACACTTAAAATCAGCTCAATTGTGGTATCGTTTAACCCAATATAAACCCTATTAGGTATGGTGAATAATATCCGAGTCACGACATTGTACCGTTAACGCTTAAGTAAATAACATGATATTTTTGCGGGATTTTGGCAATTTTCGAATGTAATCCAAAATTAACCTGTCACAATGCCAACAAGTTGCCGGGTGTTATTAAAAGGGAACACAAGATCTCCTCAAAGAGTTTGTTAGAACTCTGAACGAACACAGAGTGGACAAATTCATTCCCAAACCACAACCCGGTGGGTTTGCAGCCTTTTCCTACCGGTGCAATACAGTGAAGGTGTGTACGCCACGTTTTACCGGTCAACGAATTCATTATATTATGTATGTGTACCTATGCGTTATAATCGAGAAAGCCTGGTTTTCTCGGAAGGTGCAGGCGGGCGCGTTTTACTACGTTATTATTATTTTTATTTCGTTTTTTCGCCTCTCATAAAAAAACCTAATCCGTTTCGGAAAGCATGACGAAACGACGTCGACGGTCGGGCGAAATATCGCAGACGTGTCAAGGAATCGCCAAGGACTTTGGCCCGAGTCCCAAAAGCGGCCTGCCGAATATGCAAAATCAACTAATTGTTATTCCAAAACGCGCGTACACGTTGCAATGTCAACAACAAATGCATCGGGTCCAATTGAGTTGAAACGTTTAAATAGGCACACGCCCTGCCACCGTCGCCCCCGCCGCCGATGTGCAAAATTATAATATTATTGATTTAATCAAAATATGTCCTTTGCCGCGACGTCCTACGTTCCCGGCGTCGTGTTTCTATAGCCCGACCTTTTAAAACAGCCGGCGTATAGTTATTATTTACCAAAACCGCAGGGACGGACCGACACACAACGATATATATTTAAAGCGATTTAAGGCGACAAACAGCAACAAATAATAATACACAATACTGGCAAATCGACGAAGCCTTGATCCCGGAAAACGGTTTGAAGGAAAGCGCGACGGATTTAATTTTGAAAGAAAAATGATATTGTCTTTTTTTTTTTTTGTACGAAATAATAACCAAATAACGTAACCGCAACGAAGAACGGCCGTTTAACCTATCGGTCATACTTATTATTATTATTTTTTTTTGACGACCGTTGTAATGTTTTGCTCCGTTTACGTCAATATTATGAGATTCCGACGTGTCCGAAAATAACACAAACAAACACTATCAACAACATACTATCAGCATACATTCAATTTACAACGTACGTTAAACACCTTATGATATTTTGTTTGTTGGTTTGCATTATAACCGGGCCCGATGAGTTACAAATAATAGTGTCCAAAATTTCGAATTCTTTAAACTACAAAATATAGTGGTTAACAGCCATTATAAATTGTTCATTTTTTTTAACCCACCATAAATAATGCCCACACATATGAATATAACTTTTTTTTAATTTAATTTTAATTTTAACTCCCTCTTTCGAGGAAGGTTGTATTATTATATTATAATATAATTACTACTGTAATTGTTGTTTTTTTTTGTACTTACATACATTTTTGTTGTTTTATTTGTTCATTACTTTGTATGCCCCATTCTTGTTCATTATTGATTAACAATTTATCATTCATTAATGTAACTTGACATTTACCCTTATGCAAGGCAGTTTGAATCAATAACACATATCATATTCAAGAGTAAAGTGCTACGAAGCCAACTCAAAAATATTTGTTGTTCTAAAATTGAAATGTTCTCTGTTGGGATAGCACAACAACAAAATTACCAAAAATATATAAAACATTGTTGGTCGGATAGGTTTTCTTTGTTCAGTGATCAACACAGGCGCAACTAGACGTAATTTTTAGGGGTCGCTAAAATTATGTATACCTGACTAAACATAATTCTTATCTTCAAACCATTAGATATAAAATAAAATATTTAAAATATTCTAAAATTAAAAAATGTCAATCATAGATTAAACATACAATACATGTATACTTATGGCGTACCTACACTCTCCTACCTGGGCGCTGATGACAATAATCGTTTTCTAGTTTTTTCTATACCTATTTTAAAGCTTGGACTCTTTTTGGCGACTAGATATTGATGAAATGTATAACTTAAAATCACGAACATTATTACACGAAATCCATTTGCTAACAACTCTACCGGGGATATGCACAAAACGTCCTTGGCTGCATTAAGTACAGACTGCACAACCCCCCGTGCGTTTTTCTAATTGATGAGCGCTGACGACACGTTGGGAAATAAAAAAAAAATGATGACATTATATTGCCGGCTACGGTGACAATACTGTTGTGAAGTGAAAGCCCACGACGACCGCTTTTTGTACCGTAAGTTGTAAGAACCACACATGCACTGCGTGCGACCACCGGTGTGGATAATACCGAGTAGCACGCTGGTAAAGAATAACAATAACGATTATTATAATTATTATTATTTAATAATTATTACCGAACGTATCGTCGGCTTAATAACGGTTCGAACGACACACATTGCACGTTTTTAATGGCGAAACTAATAAAATATGTTCAAAGGACAACCAAAGACGTGGAAATATACATTAGTAATTTTAAGCAGCACGTAGCCGTCTAAACGTTAAATACCCAATTGTATATTATATTAATATACAATATTATTAATATGTATTCGAAATACGTTGTACAAACGTACCTGCCGAGTTTCTGTCAACAGAATATTACTTGTTATTATTACCATGCAAGTATAATATTGTATAGGTACACAACTATACTGCTGCTATTAAACGTCTCCTACCACACACATACTGAAAGAAATTCTACGTCGACCAGCAATTAAATTTGTATAGAAGATAAGACAAATCACGAATTAAATGTTATGAAATGAAATCGAAGCCAGTTATAACTGCTATTGGTTTGGCGTTGCGGCTAATACCGGTTTATGAAGTTAATGTTAATACGATTGTTTTTTTTTAGTATTTTGTTTTTCATTTCGGGGCTAATTACGTTGTAAATATAAAAACTAGTATGTGTTTGGCGGTCAATCGGTATAAAGTTGACGACGGTCTACTTGTTTTTTTTTTGTTGCAAATTTAACATTGATTAGTAATACAAATGTTAAATATTATTAAAAAATGAACGAGGCGTTATAATTAAATTTTGTCATTCTATAATAATATAATATTAAAGTACGCAGAAGACATGCGGTCAATTGTTTTCCCACGTACTTACAACTATTGGTATTTATCTGGTCATCTTGAGCTAGTATTGTTTTTCTGACAAATTAGAATACTAGCTACAGTTACAGATTAATGTGTCCAGCTACATCATATGTTGAGTCTAACACTCGTCCTCGGAGCCGAGCACAAAAACAAAATTGCTGATATTATTATTAAATTTGATGTTTTTTTTTTCGGTTTAATGAAACTGTAATTGGCCGTCGGCCGCCCAATAGGAAAATGCATCCTCGGTTCACGGGCAGTGAATTTTTTACAACTTGTTATTGTGTGTTTTGTACAGTGTGATCGGGCGGACCTTGGCAAAATTAAATTACATCCGCTGGGGAAAAAATTACATATAAAACCAGCAGCCGTGTGTGTAATGCTCGACCGACAATAACAAGTACATAATAATAATAACATGTATATTATTATAGTTGATACTTGTTTCGCTGTGCAGTGTGTACAATATTGTGTATTTTTATCGTTCGGTAAGTCGACGTTATTTTTGCCACACAAACAGTAAACATTTATCCCGGTACTGTTATCAAAACTTACTCAAATGCAACCGCACCGTTAATAACAATGTTGTCGCAACATAATAATAGTATTATATTATTATTATAATAAAACATTTAATACTTGTGCGTTTTTTTTTTAGGTTTCACGTGACCGGCCGCACGTACCTATGTCTAATTATTTTTTATTTTTTGTTTCGGTCAATTAAATTGGACGAGGTCGTCCGCTGTACTGTATCGTATTGTCAAATCATCGTCATTTCACCGTTAAACGGCGATTGCGAATAAATAGATACTAAAAAAATGCAGAAAAAGGGTCGTTGCGACGGATCATGTTGTACCCGCAAATTCGACTTACTCGCAATTCCTTCGATGGGCCTTTTTTATCGCCGGGAAATTATGTTCTAATTTTTGCCACCCTTTTGTTCTGCCGACCAAGTCGTGTGCACAAAATAATATTTTCGGGGTCGTAAGTATCGATTTTCACCGTTCGGGGCAGACACTTTCGCCCGCGCATTTCCCACCGCGTGCGTTGGGCGGCCAACCCAAAACGGAAGCCGACACAAACCAATACAAAATAATGATAACTATTATAATGAAAAATAACTTACCCCAGTACAATTAATGATGGTGCCGCACACTCGTGGAGGATCGGTTTTGTTCGAAGGTGCCGCAGGGGACAAATTTCGGAATTTTTGTTTTCAACCTGTCCGCCGCACCGCGCAACAACTCTTAAAAAAAAAAAAATGCGTTTTTTTATTTATTTATTGTAAAAGCACAACGACAGTGAGTTTATTTTTGCGAACAGAACAACAACAACAAAGTAATTATTACACTAGCACAGGGACACAGTATCTGACACAACCGTCGGCTGGATAGTGAACGGTTCGGTATTGTGATACGGCGATTTGTGTGTTAAACGCGGTGCGGTGAAGGTGGCGCGGCAACGTCAACGGTGGGGAAGTTGGCCCGACTGTTCGCGCGTGCTCAACACATAGCCGTTTGCCCTCTCCTCTTGGTCAAATACAGTGTATATATAATAATAATATATACCCCAAATTAGCCGACAAGTTTTGTCGGGTGTTTTCATTACACCGCCCGTGTGACTCATTTCCATTTCGTCAAAATACAAAATAAATGATAATAAACGTATATAGTTGAGCGTAGCCGGACGTGCGATACAATAATAATAATTGTGCGTCTGTCGCATTGTATTTGAGTTTAAAGCGATTAAAATGATAAAAAGAGAACTACCGCAAACAATTTTTTAAAAAATACCCGTAAGTTTGATTTTTTTCTTACACAGCCCGAACCAGACAACCCGATCGTTGTTGGACGATTTGCTTGTTAATTTTTACCGCAGAGAGAGGGGGGGGGGAATTCAAGGCGAGATGATAAAAACTCAATTCAGCTACTTTAAACGCATGTTTGAACAACACCACCAGGAACGCGTTAAAAGGATTCCCGTCCTTCGCGAAGGAGACCGAGAAAAATGCGTTTTATTATTCAATTACTTGTTATCCAATTCGGTTTATTTATTTATTAGACCAATTTGTGTTCGCTCCAGTCATGCTATGACGCGTTAGATTTGATTCGCGTTTTCATTGTAAAATAGTTATAGCGATAATTAATTGGATGCTTTTATTAGTGTAATTAAGATTAACTATTTACAATACTAATAATTGTTTTCAATACTGATGTGAGTCATGACTTCTAGTACAGCATGTCATTAAATCAGAAAACCAGTTTACACTTTGTTGTGATAAAAAATAAAATCGCAACAACAAGTCGCGTTAAAAACAGAATTTACATGATTTTCCGTTTTTTAATTACTACAAAATTTCCGTTAAGGCGGGTGAAGTAATGGTAAACGAATGGGGCAATTATATTTTAATGCAATTTTTTGCAAAGAAAAAAAAATTGTTTTGTGATTTATTTAATTGTACAATACATTAACAACTTTAAAATAAAGGCTTTTTTAAAACTACATTTTTTTTTAATATATCGTTAGAAACATTTTATTTACATGTTCTCCATTTGTTTTGGTAAAATTGCCCTACTTGATTTAAGAGACCAAATATTTAATTTTATAATAACTATTTTTTAGTATAATACTAATTATAAATATCATTATTAATTTGAGTTAAATTAGAAACTGAAGAGAAGACTAGATTATGAAAGAATTAATGAAACTCAATTTTATTAAAATTTAAGTTTTTTCATAAATCGATTTTCTAAATTATGAATTTTTTGTCTCCCTAGGTTGGCATTTTATTAGCCCAAAACTCGGGCCGGACATTTGTTTTATAGATAATTAAATTTCAATAGATTGCATTTAAATGGACTGCAGAGAACATACTGTATAAAAACTTTTAATTTCAATTTTTTTTAAATTATAATTATAGGTACCAATAATTTGTTTTATTATTATTTAATAGTAATAATTACATTCATGAATTTATTATATTATTATGATTCAGCTGATCCCATTTGTAGTGGTCAACCGTCAAAGTTTATCATTTTAATTAATTGAAAAAATAGAGTCTAGAAAATTCTCTGCGACTTGCTAACTAGCTTAGTAGTATAATTTTGTAATTTAACATTATCTATTAACTATTATCTATGTTTACTTTTATAATTTGTAGTTATTATGTAGTTTGTAGTAATTATGTATGTATTATGCAATTTGACGTTTAATCTTAAATATAACGTTTTTAAGTATTTCAAAACGCTTTAAAATTCTTAAATTACTTAGTGTAGCAGTTTTATCTTTAGAAACAGTTAAATAATAGTTTATTTGGCGGGTTAGACTTAATAACTTAATAAAATATACTGCCAAGTGTTGAATATACTCACAAAAAATGAAGCGACATTTTACTTGAAACCATGTAATTTTCATAATTTTTTTTATCACATTGTTTATTTTCACAACCCATTTTTTTTTTAAGTAAAAAAAAATAATCCTACAAATTAAACCAACTCATGGTTATTAAAAACAATTTATTATTTAATTATAAATATTAGTTATTACGATTCGAAATTAGGTACATATAATAAACTATTTTTTTAGTAAATTTCACTAACACCTACACAGAATGGGCACTAGGTTGCCACTGGTTAGAAATGTCAATACTTTTTCTTAAAAACTTTGTTTCCATAAAAATGTAATGTACATCATTAAAGAAAGGAAAAAACAAGTTCAAAAGCTGCACGTTACATCGTACACAAAAACATTCATTTTTTTTAATTTATTTTATCACACAGTGTCGAAGATAAGTTTTTTAAATGTATACGTCACCGTCAAAGTGGCCGTAATTATTTTTCGTTTAATTATAATTCAAATTTAATGTAAACAACATACAGTATTACGCATTTGTAGCGGGTAGCCATTTTTAAATGACCTTTTCCGTCTGTTTTTTAAGGGATATTCATGTAAACAATATGATGTAATTTATAAATATATATATATGTAATACGTCATACAAACTGTTCTCAATATTCGATAAAACACTTTTTGTATATATTTCATTGATTTTGTTTATTTATCGAATAGATCATCTTTGTCTCGTGCAGCAATCATAAATGCACATGATATAATATAACTGATAAAAAATAATATTTAATTACAAGCATAATATCATATTTTAATTGTCTATTTTTATTTTAAATCTACGCTTTAGAAAAAAGAAATCGACAGTGGTATTTCAATTATTACGGTATTTACAACTTAGATTTGAAATTTTACCGGATAGGGTTTTCAACAAATCTGCATCTTAGAACCAGACGAACGTAAATCATATATTGTGCCAACTTTTCGAGAGAACATAAAAACGTCAATATTATTGTCTAGTATACGATCTTATTTACTATTACACTGTTATTACAATCCTTACAAATTATAAAAGGAGCATTTTTAACGGAATTCCGATCGTATTGCTTGAACAATAATACACCACTTGTAGACGTTTATACTATAAGGTTGTAAAAACCAACCAATTAGTGGATAAAATGTTGACAGTTTTTTTTTTAAATAGCAAAGGGTAAAAAAACGAAATATTATTTTCTGAAAACAAAATAACCGGTAAACTGAAAAATCGTACTTTATAATTTGCCTGTACTAATTAATTTTTGTCTGTCACAACAAAAATGAATATTTTTAAAAACCTGCAAAAATATTTTTTTCCTTTACTTATCCACTAGTTAAATAAAACTTATAAACGCCTAGAATTCACTCTCGGACCACTGTGCGGCGACCGTCGTAATGACTAATAACTTCATAACAAACCCATCAAAATAACTGTTTATAGATTGCGTGGACTACAATAATGACAAAAACACCAATAAAATATTTTGGATATACTTTGTGGTTCGGGAAAATGTCCATATTATTTATTATTATTAATCTATACTTATTTCTTAGTAGCTAAAGATTTTTAAGGGGAAACTCAGTTTCAAAGTCTCTTATGACGGGCCGCCAGTGTAACTGACAAATAACTCCAGTGTACAACGAATTAATGTGAATAGGAAAAAAAAGTTTAAAATGTAAAGTTTATTTATACATTATTCAAATAAATGTTACTATTAATTATGGTATGATTTTAGAATATCATATTCTTTTTGAAGTAATGATAATATAATCGATGAATTTATTTTTATAGACTGACCCGAAAAAAACGAACGCTTAATCAGCGATTGGCGTCATTGAACTAAATAATATATTACATATCTGATTACATCCACGTTTAGGATATTGTTGTATCTAAAAAGACTCAAAATCTAAAAATACCAATTAATTATTATTAGTTTCATAACTTATAGTCAATCAGCAAACGTCAATGTTTATTTTTGCATCGCAGTAGTACCACTGACGCAGGACATGTCATAATATGTTGAAATTAGCTAACAATTATTTTTTTTTACCTCACAAATTTATGTTGTTACTAAACATGCAAATTTTAGCACCGCAAACAGACATTTTTTTGAAGGGGAACTAGTTATAAAAAAAAACCTATAATAAGGTTTAAGGAATAGTGTATGTTTTCGACAACAGTTGAGTTTGCGTGCCCAGCTACATACATATATTTAAAAAAAAAAGAATTTCAATGAGGATGGGAAGGCTCCATTGGCTACAGCACTGCAAATTGTATAACAGAAATTTGCGAAAAAGTTAATTCACTTTAAAATTAATAAGGAATAAGAAATACATTTTATGTAGGCGCTAAAGATAAAAAGGTCTGTACAGAGTTTTTAGTTTTCATTTAAAAATATAACACGGTAAACGTTAGTATAGATTACAGATAAGTAATAGATGTATTATACATTTTAACGTTGTAGAAAACATGAAATTATCTAGTTGTTGTAAGTTTTGATTTTGCAAAATTGATATTTTAGGTACGTGTAATACTTTTTCCGGAATTGGCATTTCAGAATTGATTTTATAATTTAAAAAAAAACGTACTGAATGTATTATAAAATAATAAATAATCGATTCTAGCGATAATAGGTTTATAATTTACTCTTTTTCCAGTAAAAATAATTGACCTTAACCTTGTTACTGTAAAGTGAACACAATGTATAAAATATTTTAAGTATACCTACGGAGAGTAATTTATTTTAACATTACCCAAACTAGGTTAGTTAATTACATTTTCGGAGTACTCGAGTGTCATGTTAGGAAGCCCGACCAAATAAATATATTATATAATAAGTGTTAAATGTAATTGAGTTCATAATAGGTATATCTGAATAGGATATTAACATTTGTCCTTGCCCATCAAAATAAAAATATTTCACTGCACAAATATAATCTAATTGGCAATTGAGCACGCGGTCGATGGTCATGACTCACGTTGAATTTTGAGCACAATATAAAATAGTTTGCCCTTAGCTAATTTTTCACTAACACTTGTTAACATGCTTACAGCTTAAATAATACAAGAAAATAGTTGCCTTACAGAGGAAACGTATAAGAATAACATATTTTTTCTACTAGATAATAATATGTAAACAACATTGTATGAAACTTCTATTATTTCTATTATTTCTTTATTGATTAATGTTGTGGTTATACCTATAACATGATTATATTACCCGTGTAACTTAATATCCAACTTCAAGAAACCGTTAGTTAGTGAAGTAGTGGTAAGTAAAAGAATACGCAGAAAATAAAAAAAATCCCTCTAGAAAATGAAAAAAAAAAATCTATCCGGTGATTGTACCCGTAACCGTCTTAAGAGCAATTATTGGCGTTGATATTACTTATTCAATTGGTGCTTTAAATTGTCGAAAAAAAGACTAAAAGCCAGCTGTTTTTAGTTTTTTAATTCTGTGTTGATAGTTTACAATAATCCACTTTCTTTTTTGTTGCATTTAATTTTAACAAATAATTTTCTTTGATATCACGGTCCAATTTATTTTATAATGCAATTTTTCAAAAAAAATAATATTTATATTAAGTACTAAGTACTTAATATTAATATTTAGTATTAAGTACTAAGTACTTAATATTAATATTTAGTATTAAGCTTATCTGATCACTTTTGTTTTGTGAAGGTATATGATTATTAATTAAATACACTATACATTAAATTATAGCTAAATCCTGAAGTACCACTATCAAACTATAATATGAATTAGGTAGTTATTCTTATAATAATAGTGAAGAGCACTGTGCGGCCTAAAGACTACAAGAGTAATTATAATCTGAAATACTGTTTAGCATTACCTTATTTTATGGTTCAATAAATTTTAGGTCATTATATTATTGTGTTGGTAATTCAATCATGGTTATATAATTACTTACAAATCCATGGTTAGATCTACACGCTATCGGCTGTACAACTTTTTTTGTACTCCGAGTAAATTCAAACAATCACATTATTGATTTTATCTCGATAATACAACACTCGGCATTCGCTTGCGAAGGACTGTCATGTCATAGCCTACGACCGTTTTATCATTTGGAATTTTTTAATGCTATAAATTATAATACTATTTTTATTTAAATGTAATAGTCACTTTGTATTCGTATATATATGCGCACATAAATACATTGATTGTACCTACCTATATATAATTATATCGCCAAAACCATTCGAATTAATTTAAGTGTTCGGAAAAACAATAGGAACCCTCCAAACTTGTCATATATGCGGTATATAGTAAATTTTCTAATTTTCTAATTAACGTTAAGTCAAATACATTTATAAATTAGCCCAACTCTCTCTACAATCTACTGAGATTTAGTTATATTTCAAACGTCAAAAGTTCAAATGTCTTGATGGAAAAGAAACTACACCAACTTGTAATAATGGAATTAGTATTGTCAAAACATGCCACTACGAATGTATGGTAAAACGCACACGATAATAATTAATAAAAAAATAGAATTTTATTCACTTACGTACAACAACAAAAAATGTGTTAATCATATAGTTAATTTTACAACAATTATACCAAAACGTATACTTGTTACATATAGGAATCAACATTCACTAGATAGTTCAAACAATTGCGTTTCAATAACAAGGAATCTGGCTTTTGAGTACCATTTTAAATTTAATTTCCTTAATTGTAAGCATATCTAATATGCATTCTATGTAGAATTGGTACGACGAAGTATTCCAAACAAACGATCGGTTGAACGAAAAGTAATCTGGCAAAAAATGATCCAGACACCATATTGTAGTACTAGGAACGTAAGTATGACTAATTAATTATGATAATCGATGATCAATCGACACAATTGGCCGTAACTATACCATGTGGGTTTAATAATTATGTAAAATTGAAAAAACCCGGTCTGTGGAAATTTGACTATGTTTACATTTTAAGTCTTAAACATTTATTGCCGGTCCAACACTGATGTGTTTGATTTTTTGCCAAGGGGTAACCCCTCGGTGTTCGCTTTCCAGTGGTTTTGCGTAAATGTCGGCTCCCAGTTCTTCAAGCGAGATCTCTGGATCATCTTTGGATTTTAACGTCGCGTAATCGATTTCTGCTTTGATCTCTTTATCGATCACCTAATCAAGTTAACGGATTATTCAATGTTACAGTTAACACTCAATCGGTACTAATAGAGCTTACTTTGAGGTCTTCGGTCGACGCCAAATTGGCCGAAAGCATTTTTTCTTTAAACGACGTGATCGGATCTCTGGTCATCCTCACGGCTTGTATCTCTTCCCTCGTTCTGTACGACGTGCCTGGATCCGACATCGAGTGCCCTGAATACCTATAAGTGACGGTTTCTAGCACTAATGGCCCTTTACCTTGAGTGCAATAGTCCACAGCGAACTTGGACGCTTCTCTCACCGCCAACACGTCCATGCCATCTACCTGAATAAAGAAAATATCCCAGTGAAACTACACAAAACGCAATTTAGACGCATTAAAAACTCAAAAGTGATTGAAAATACAAGGAAATATGTGAAAACCCACAAATAATATTTTTTTTACCCGCCGAATGGTGTTAATAAATTGATAGTTGACAATAATGAATGTAATGCCTGCGTGCATTTTACAATTGATAATTTACTTTGGGCATTATACAAATGGAGCGATGGATAAATAATTAATTTTTATTTAATCATTTGTGATTTGATTATTAATGACAATCATCATATCGATACCCCAGTTAAAAACTGCAACAACTCAAAAAACCTTATTTTTCGAGTACATAATGATTAAAAAACATTTACCTATCTTACAGACATGCGATATTAAAGTGAAATAAATGCTCTCTAGTGGAGAATAATACAGCTATAGTATGTATGCTAACATTGCATTCTTGAACTATAAGTATTGACAAATGGCAACAAATATAGAATACATAACTCGTATTTGAACATTTTTAAGTTGTTGCAGTAATTCTAAACTGAGGCATCAATATTATTTGGTAGTTATATAAGATATTTTGTCAACGAAATGTATTTATTATTAACGAATATAATTTTTATTCGTTATTTATTATTTGCTTAAATATCTAATTTATACCTAACCGTCGTCGAGTAACAGATTGCGGGAATACTGTGCTTGGCTACGCTGGCCATGCTCACAGCCAGACTGTATCCTAAGTCTATAAGGCCGTACCCCCTAAAAACTGTTTAATTTAAAATGGACTATTTAATAAAATCTCGACTGCTTGTATGGCGAGGGAAATCACATTTACTTTTATTTATTATTTAATGATGTCGACTGAACCACACCGCAGAACAAAAACAAGCTACAACTAACAAACACGTCATATTAGGTATATTATTTAAAAATTGACTAATAACCCCAACCAGTATTGTTAATTTTATCCTCATTTTATTTTTTTGTATTTAAGGCTTTGCACTCGTACACTAAAACCCTTAAAAAACCCACATAAATAATCATAACCAAAATCAATTTAAACTATAAAATCATTGTTTAGCTTCGATGCGATAGTGAAGAAGGTACTGGTTTTATAATGCTGTGTTTTTTTTCGTGTCTGAAGACACGATAACCCTTTTTCTATAGACTTACTCTACACTTACTCGTGTAGCAGCTCTATAGACCCGGAATCGAATGCGAATAGTACTTTAATGGTTCAAAAGTAAAATCTTTCACCCCCAAAACCAGGAAAAACAATTGTTAACCAACAATTTTGACGTGCTATACCTTAGCAAAAACCGATCACAGTTGATCGAAATTTGCATAGAATGTTTATTAGTCATGCCTGATGCCTCTACCCACTAATGGATTTAAATCCAAATTTTGACGCAGAAAACGCTTAGATGCAAATCTGTAGATACTTTGCGATGGATTCGATTGTGATGAAATCACATTCAGATTTAAAAATAGATTTGATCCAACTTCTTTTGTACTGATCTTTTCTGTACTTGGTTTGGACTGTGCTGGCTTTTTTTTATTAAAAATCATTTTTTCCCCCGACAATCATTTGAGATTAAAAATGCTGTGTACCATTAAAAACTAGGTTTATTACAGATTATATACGTGTATTTTTTTTTATAAAGAAGTTATAGTTGCTTAAAAAACAATATTTAATCTAGCGCCACCCTGTACATCTTATATATTTTTGCTTATGATTATTCGAAACTGCAGACGCCTAAATAAAAAAACAGGTCGTCAAACAGGTATAACATTGTAATTAAAAATTCATTATTATATAAGCTTAAATTTGTTTATTTGTTACATTTCTTTTTTTATCTTGCATTTGCTGAACATATGTTTACTTAAAATAACAAAAGAAAGATAACGTTTTAGTAATAGAGAGTAGGATGAAGGAAGGTATTTTCGTGGCATAAGCAATTTTGTGATATAGTTTGTTGATCGTATCGCGTAATCCCCTATTAGAAAATTGTCTTGAAATAACTGTTATTTTAACAATCAGTGTGATTTTCAAGACAATTTTCTAATAGGGAATTACGCGATACGATCAACAAACTATATCACGAAATTGCTTATGCCACGAAAATACCTTCCTTCACCCTATATAATACTATTTAAAAACATTTGTCAAAAAAGTATTGGGTAACTAATTATAATAAATAAAAATAGTTTAAGATATTTTGTTTATAAATAAAATACTATTTAAAATATTTGTTTATTCAAATTAAAAAAAAAAATACCTTATTTATTATTTGTGTAATTTAATTTAAGTAAATTTGAAATGATCTAAAATACTTTTTTTTAATTCTAAATTATAAATAAACTAGATATATTTTATTTATTGTGTTATAAATAATGTTATTCACGAATAAAAAAATATCTATTTATGTAGATTTAAATTTGACTCAACTCTGTTTGGGGGGGGGGGGCATTAAAGTTTAATAATTCAAACTAATAACAGTTTTTTTTTTTAATTTACCAAATTGGCTCTCAATACTTAAGCAATAGGCTCTAAATTCGTTTAACGGGAAGCATAATTTTTTTGAATATAATCGATAAATAATCGTGCGATGTATAATAAAATATGTATCTGATTGAAAGAATAGAAACAGAAATTATGATTGACTAGTTTTGATGATATTCTACATATTAGATACACCTTTGTCGAAAATATATTGAATTTAAAACTTAAAACAAAATAATTACTTTCCACCACACCCAGTTTTCTTTCAGCAGTTAAAATTTGTCAAGATAATTGAAATGTTATGTTTTGACACACTATAATTTTACCCATATGCCGGGTATGTAATCGCCCCTGGTGTAGTACGACGTGTTTGATGCTGACCGTTCTGAACTTGTTCCCATAGCATATCCGTTGTTCTCGCATACGAAAATGCACGGCAGATTCCATAACTTGGCCATGTTGTAAGCTTCAAACACCTGACCCTGATTTGAAGCTCCATCACCATACAGAGCAAAGCACACACCTCCAGTGCCCAAGTACTTGGCAGCGAACGCAATGCCTGCACCTAAAGGTACCTAAAAGTAAAAACAGACCTTTTTCTTAAACAAATACTTATCAACGATGTTGTTGATTTTTTTAAAATTCCTAAGAATGAGCAAATGTAACACACGCAATTAAGTAAACATGAAAATAAGCATACCTATGAAACTTTTCATGCACAATTTGTTATATTTAATTTACAAATATTTTAAAATAATTAAAAGGCCTAAGTCTTCTTGTTACATATCTGTAATATTTCCCTCAAAGATTTGCCTTCGAGAGCATTTGAGTTCACAATCTCTTGAAGTTTGTTAACTATTATAAATTATATTTGTTAATAATACATTCCATAACTGAATAAATTTACAATAAAATCTAAAAAAAAAATTCTTAAGCTGGCTTAATAGCACAGGGAATACTTTGCCCGTCAAGAGGACACCGTGCTTGCACACAGTATCTCCAGGAGCCCTATTTTTCTTCCTGTAATAGTCAAAAGAAGGGTTGGGAGAATCCTACGTAGGACTCATATATAAGATTATCGCTGGACTTCAACTCTAACAGTGTCTGGTCATCTTATCATAGTCACGGGAATAAAGTGTACATACATTGTGGTATCATGCGTGAACACTGGTTTTTGCGGAGTTATCAGTGGTCAAAAATGTTTTTGTTTACATCGCGATATATATTCTGAGTTCATATATTCTGTGATACTATCTTATATCATGGTTACTATCAATACATAATATGTTTCTATGTTCATAACTATGTTCAGTATTGTAATACAATATTTTGATGTTTTTTCCAGGATTTATTTAGAATCAATAAAAGTGACTTAAAAATGAAATGGCCGGCTTTAAAAATTCATACTGTAATAATAAAAAAACAATTAGTTTTGATTACACTCAGAAAAATTCATCCAAAAAAAAATTTTCCCAAACTTGTACAAGATAGTTTAAGTTGCCAATTTCCTCTGCAACATCTGAGCGTGCATTTTCTGCCATGCGGCGAATAAATACCTACTTATGATCTATAATGGACTAAGATCGTTTCAGTAATTTATCCATACTGAGTATTGGAAAAGATATAGAAATTTATCCTAATCAAATTTTATAACAATTTACAGCTATAAGTAAAAGAAAATTGAAACTTGAATAATTTGTTAGCAACTATAGTATAATATATAAAAATTCATTAAAAGTTAAAGAATTTTGGTATTTTTGTAGTGTATAAATTTTAAGATGTGGGGGTGGGTTACTTTTGGTATAATATTAAGGTGGGGCTGTAGCCCCCCTTGGATTTTGTGCTAGTTGCGCCACTGCACCCACAGAAAAGGCATTGGCGAAATTTTAATTAATAGCAATTTACCAGTTTGTTAAATGTGAATTACCAAATTTAACAATTTACCTGAGCTCCGACAATGCCATTGCCACCATAAAAGTTTTTGCCGTACATGTGCATGGAGCCACCCTTACCGCGAACCACACCGCTTTTACGGCCAGTGAGTTCGGCCAGCACTCCGAGTGGCGATGCGCCCATTAAGTATGTCCACCCGTGCACTCGGTAAGCCGATATCACAGAATCTTGATCCCGGAACGCCGCCTTCATGCCCACTGCACAAGCTTCCTGTAAATGACGCGTCAAACAGATTAGCGGTTCACAATATTATATTTCCAACCCGATGACTTTATCGAAAACTCACCTGTCCCGAGTAAAGATGACAAAATCCTCGGATGATTTTCTCTTTGTACAAATTACCAGCCGCCGTTTCAATGCGCCTAATGTATTGCATTTGCTTGTAAAAGTTGATAGCATCATCTTTAGTCACAGTCACCGTACTGTTGGGTCCCGATTCTAATTTGTGCAGCTTATACGGCTATTACGATGAAAACCGCGCCCAAATAAAAAATGAATTGCATTATTACTTTAAATTATAATACTTAAAATCTTGTATAAAACCAAATCAATCTAACATTAAAATATATCCATAAAACCGTAATCGAATTCCATGTCGGAAAGTGGGAGACATTTTTAAAGATAAATTTTATAGGACGGTAGTGAGGCCAGCAATGTTATATGGGTCGGAATATTGAGCAGTAGACAAGCAAACTGAATAGGGAATGAGTGTAGCGGAGATGAGAATGCTAAGATGGATGAGTGGAGTAACTAGGGAGGATATAATAAAAAATTAATACATAAAGGGGAGTCTAGGAGTTGCATCAATTGTGGGGAAAATGAGAGAGAAAAGATTGAGATGATCCGGTCATGTTATGAGAAGAGATGAGGTAGAGGCAGTGAGAGACGTTATGAAGATAAATGTAGAGGGAAAAAGAGGAAGAGGAAGACCAAAGAAAAGATTGATAGACGGAATAGAGAGTGATATGAGAATAGCTGGGGTGATTGAACGAGATGCAGAAGATCGAGGTCAGTGGCGGTGTAGAACTAGGGAGGCCGACCCCATGTAGTTGGGAGTGTAAGGCGAAAAAAAAGAAAGTGAGAGACATTTTATATAAATCATATTATAATTATAATCCTTTAATATTTATAATGTATAATACACATAAGATATATATGTGAAAGTAGTCATATTGAAATAAATGTATTTTGTATTCGTTTAAGCTGTTAAAGGATTTCAATTAAGATATAAATTACCATTGTTATCGATTTATATTGTATGTTTACATAACTACTATTCAGTAACATAAATGAGTATTTAATTAAGATGACTGTGTACTGTGATAAACGTGTACCTTCAATTGCAAAATTCATTAAATTATTATAAATCCAAGTGATTTGTAACCAATATGAATAATCGGTTACCTGACTAAATTTATTTAACGATTTTATTTGGTTGAATCGTGATCAAATTAGTAGTAGGTAATAACCGTAAAAATAATCCGTTCAAGAACGTTCCGGTGTGTAGTTTTGTGCAATTTGCACTTGACAATTATGATTACAATTAAAACATGTAAGTATGTGCGGAAATACTAAAACGTAACCACTATTAATTTACCACTAAATCGTTTTCTGTAAAATAAACATTTATTTTTTTTTATTACATAATTTATTATTATATTCAACTAAGAGTACTTACCTAATATGTACAATAAATACCTAATAATCACCGTTTTACTTACTTTTGTTTCAAATGTAGCTTCAGTTGCAAGGCTCCTCCATGGTTGCCACAAAGGAACAAGTTTCTAAAACATAAAATGCAAAACATGTATTTTTTTATGTATATACTACATACACGATGATCTGGAAAATATCTAATTAATAATTAAATCGTTTTTTTTAGCACGGAACATGCTTTAGCATTGCCCCCCAGCCCGAAAACGACACTAAATTACGATACTAAAGTAGCGCAATAACTAAGCAACAAAATTATTGTTTATTTGGCCAGAAAATATAATTAAGACTATACTATCATCTTAAATCGCAAGGAGATTATAGATCAGAAATAATCACTATTCAGAAGCCTGCAGGTTAAAGCACGTTTGATTTTTAACTTAGTAGGAGTGAAATTGTAAAATAAAATAATATAGATGTTACTTTTTTTTTTGTCTTTATAAATTTAATAATAATAATAAACAAATGAATTTCGTTAATAATAAATTAATGTGTAAATAGAAGTACAGAGTGGGGGGACTGACGAGTTTTGATGGGCTATAAATAATGATTAGTAAAAAAGCAGTTTTTTTTATTAAAATCAGTGTGAAATCCCGTTTTTTTAAGTTATGTTTTGAAAATGATATCTCCAAGATGGTGGCCGTCAGCATCAATACATTGCTGTGGCCGATTTTTTTAAGTTTACTCTTCGATCTCTGGATCTGTGAATAAACAAAATTTTCGATACTGGGCCGAAAATAACCCACGGAAACTCCACTAAAATGATAAAGTGGTATGCTGTGCCAGTTTGGGGTGATCGGCTGGACAACAGGACTGACACTGTCACTTCCGCACGATATGTTCTGATGTTGGAAACTTAACTGCTGCACAGGTTAGAGGAAATGGATAAAGTATATGACTTGGGGGACGTTTGGTTTTAGCTAAATGAAGGGATGCAATCAATGTAAATTTTTTAACATTCTGAGAAAATCATGTTATTAATTTCAAAACGTAATACATTTTGCCTGTATGCCTAAATTTCCGGCGGTCGTTACTCTCGACTAATCTATTTTTTTCCCTGGTTCGAGCGCATAAAAGGTACAATACATTAATACAAATCATTTGACACCAAAATCTCATTTTCAAAAAAAATTGACATTGATCTTTTTTCCCCGCAGCCCTTGAAATGGTTTTTTTTCGACATATGTTCCCTGGGTGGTAGGTCTTTCAAAGGGGGTAAAGTAGGCTGGCCGCGCCGCTTCCCTGATTTGAGCATGTGCGATTTTTTCCTTTGTATAATATATACAAAATTTGTTTATACAATTGCTATAATGAGATAATCGATGAAATATGATAGCAAAAAAATATGATTAAATCCGGTATACACATATAAGGTGTTCAATAAATATGAGAGCAGCTAAGTTTAAACAAAATTCTAAAATTATATCTCAAGTAATTGGCGCGTCAATATTCGAATTATTTTTTTATTAAATTGTTTCTATTTTAATATAAATATGCTCAAACTATTGTTTTCAACGAACTGTTAAACATTTAAAGTTATTTAAAGTAAAAGTAAGAGCGTTATTCAAAGTAAATTTTAACAATGTTATTATTTAATAAATAATTGCGCAATGCTTTTAAGCTTTCCGTGTACCCAGGTTAATTAGTAGACTTGCAACAAAGTACCCACAAATTATAAACCTAAACCTTCTTCGTCAAACACTCTTTTTATTAGTGAAAAAGTATTTACTGAGAAACTCCTACTTCAATTATCGGTTCACCATAACCAGCGGACATAAGACACACTGTAAGACGATCAAATGTCTATGGCCAGTATCTCCTAATCCTTTGACACTATATCACAGCCAGTGGACTAATCCACACTAGAACGATAATTAGCCAGTATCTCCTAATAAGTAGGTCCTAATACGATTCTTAGTCAATATTATACTCTATTTCTAATTATAATTAAAGTTAGACTAGTGGCTATATCTATAATATTGAAACTTAGAGATTACTATATCAAGTAAATTATCGTTTACTAGTTGCCCCAGTGGCTATTATTTAGAAATGAACCAAAAAGACGTTTAATAAATAAGGTAAAAGGTAACGCTTTAAAATTAAACACACACAAAAGAGTTAAGTCTTAAAAAAACAATTGACGGGAGCCGTTTGGAAAAAAACGAACAATGGATGGGAGCCGTTTGGATTGCACCGAAATATATAAGACACCGTGGTCGTAAGACATACGATAAATGATAATGCAAAGTACAATAATTCCCTTTCAGAAACGGTCGAGAGAGTAACCCCGACATTCTTTCTTTTCGTTTGTCTTAAATAGTAAACACAATTGATATAATTTTGCTTATGCTACATTAAAAGGATGTAAGGCACATGTACATATTGCTGGATTAGCATTATTATTTAACAACTAAATATTTAATAAATGTTATAAAATTGTAACGCTTATTGTAATTTTTTTTTCTCACGGCTATATTCTACTACATACTACAATATGTTAATAACTTTTAAATCGTAAATAGGTAGTTGGCTTTTTACTTGATGGTATAACAGCTGCAAGAAAAATATAATCAACTGACACAATAAATAAATATGTTTGTAGACTTCGACAAAATTCTCAAAATAAAATACGAATAACTTCGTTGGCCGCAGCAATAGAATATAACTCCCGATCGCGTTACAAAACTTTATAAACGTGTTTAACGTAGTATAAATATCAGAAACCCATAGTTATACGAAGTTTTTCTAACTTGTGTCTATATCTCGTGTCTCTAGAAAGAGCAGGGCAAAATTACTCAACAATAAACAGCTCAAAATTTTGGTAATATTATTTGGGAATAGTTTTACCCAAATTTTGGGGATAATATTTGGGAATAATATTATATTTTGTGCGTACAGCACTAAACAGTTATAATAAACTTTGTAAATTAGCATTGAAGGGCTTAATCCTAGTTATCAAATAACGAGAGTATTACCGAGAGTGTGATAATACACAGAGCGGGTATTTAGTACATTATACTACAGGAGTATAAAGGAGCTTTTTCGTACATTGTATCGTTCGGAGATAAAAACAGGAAATAATATTGATCGTGTCTCCTGTACGCTATTGCGACGCTGCATACACAAAATGGCGCTGGCTATGGGGTCGCCAACGCGTCGGGTCACAGAGGTCATTGTACATCCCTTTTGCAGAGCGCGCTGGATGGATTCTGTGTATTGATTTTGCCAAGGCATAGCGTTTTCAGTACTGCGAGCCGCACCCTACAATTGTAAAGCTTAGTTCGAGAGTAACAGAGCTCAAGTCAACTGTTTCAAGTCATCATCACCTTAAAAGGTAAGTAACTTTTGTTAAAGCACGTTTAAACGTAATAATAACTACGGCTAGTTGCATAGGGGGTAAATTGTTATATTATAATTGTAAACTGCGGGGCTTTTTTTTCTCGGTTATTAAATGGCTGCGTATTCGATAAAATGTATAAAGAATATTATGTACCTACTCTTTTTTTTTCCGCTTCCACCGTGATCTCTTTAACTTGTTTTACTTATTCGCTTTCCTTCTATTTTCATTGTGCCCAAACCATCTCAATTTATTTTCTTTAATTTGTCTTGTAATTAGCGCAACTTCCAAACTATTTCCACATATTTATCGCAAGTTTGTACTTCTAAATTACACTCAAATTTTAGTATTCTTTAATTGTGTGAATTTTACACAATGAAACAAGTTTCTCTACACATTTTATTTTATTACAAACTACTAGCTGGTTAACCCGGCTTTGTTTGCATGGGGTGTGAAATTATGTTTTAGTACTCCGCTGCTCCCCCCCCCCCGCCCCATAACACATTGGCGGCTTACAGGGAATTCGCCAGCTCGTTGCGCGCATCGGAAGCAAAAAAATATTGCCCTCGCGGTCCCCAGACGTTAGAGAGCGCCCCTTCGTGCTCTTCAACGCGTCGAGCAGGTGGAAGCAGCGAAAAAATACAAAAAGCGTACATAATATTATATGGACATAGCGTTATAATATAATACATATTATAAGGCAAGGTGGTCGTGGTTCGGGTTCGATTCCCGACTTGGGGCTTTTATCGTTTTGGACTTATTCTTAAGTTTACACTAGCCTATGAAAAATTGTTTGCAAAATACAAAAAATCTCATATAAATCGCGTCAGTAGTTTTGACAAAAATTCCAGCCGTCTGTTCGTGGCCTGCCGCGCCAACGCCACGAATGTATACAACTACAAATCCTGTCGCACGTCCTGCAGCGCTATCTAGTGATAGGTAGCCTCTTTCTCTTGACAGTTGCGAGTCCAGGGAGAGATGCCACCCGTGGCCGAGTTCGAAAGGGCGACGGTGCGCGCATTGGAGCCGCCGTCTTAGTCCACTAGGCTACTTCGTCCCACAAAAACGCTTAATAAATGTTCCATAAAAATCTCAAATGATCCGACCGTTTTCGCAAACTTGGGCGAGTCAAGAGTTGTCAAATCGGCATTTTTTACAAGGATATGTCTTATGGCTGGGGGTCATTCTGAAAATTTGTCCATTGTCCGTCATGTTTTGAAGTGTCACAGTGGGTGGATAAAGGGGTTAGGGGGGAGTATGAAGGCGTATTAAGGAAAACATTTGGCCACAACATAAAATTAAGACAAGTGGCAACACTGTACCATCATATTAACATAATATGTTATATTGATAATTTTCATTAATTGGATTGAGGTATGTGGGAGCCAAATTGAGTTTTTTAGAACTGAAACGTCATATTTTATTAATTAGAAGAATAAGTTTTTTATAGTTTATAAGTAGTCTTTCGCCTAGTACGTTTTCTCGATTTCATCGGTACTTGACTATTGATTGCTAAATTGTATTATAAATGTAAATTGTATATGTTTTCAAAACGAGCTCGATTAAATGAATGGTTAAATTTATCCAAAATAACTGACCATGTCATGAATGTTACCAATAAACAAATTAAGGCCAAATATTAAAAAAACTACTAAAAAAACATTGGGCCACAACATAAAATTAAGACAATACCATACTGTATTATCATATTTTAACGTTGCTATCGTTTAAAGA